GATTTAAACAATGGAAACAAATATAACTTTATTGATTGGTTGATTGATTGTTGATGTTTAACACCACTTCCAACTGTCTTGTCTATATCGTGTGGTTCTGTTTTTATTGGTTTGGGGAGCTGGAGAGAACGACTGACCTTTGTCAAGAAAATAAGCAATCCTAGTCAATTAGGAAAAGAGTTGAACACACCTCCTATGAGCATAGTTAGAGCTTAAAACCTCAGTAAAAAAATGTATTGACAGGCTTATTATTCTAATGCATCTACTACCGTTGTTTAAATCGAAACTGTGTAAAATATCGAAATTTCATTATCTTCAGATACTTATAGATTTAATCAGCAATCTTTTTTAATATTTCGACCTTATCAAATATAATTAAACTTGAAAAAAATTTCCAGAGGCTCATCCCTACCACTCAGTTTATATGAAATGCACCCTCACCCTCCTTCTCTCCAGGCTTGGGATTAAAAAACTTTAAAAAAAAATGAAAAATTTTTAGTAAATCTGCATGAAAAGAGATATGCACAAGTCAATTTTACATGTACAGCAACCCAAAAACTGAAACTACAAAAGTCGAACACTGCACCATGACCTTACTTTTCAAAAATATGTATATAATGTAAAAAGTGTTAGTTACATGTACAATTGATAAAAAAAATAGTTTGTCTATGCTGCTATGATTTTCTTTGTCGTACTCAAAGCGGATTTTAGACTGTGGATAATTTATTTTCTTTAAAAAAAATTGTGAGACTTACAAACTAATTACAGTAGGTCATTACTATGCAAGTTCACTTTGTTTGGGAAAATGGATATACAAGAGGACGCAATTTTTTTCATTTGTGTTTTTTAATATTGCAGTACTCACCAAAGTTGCCCAACTAGTCACCAAATGTGTTTATGTCTGCATCAACTGAGTCATTGGTGTTGTTGATTTCATTAATATACAGTCAGTGTTTTGTTTAAATTACATTGTCAGTACCCATTGTTGACCATGTCCTTGTTTGATTGATGGATTGATTGATTGATTGATTGATTGTTGCTTGTTGCTTTCTTTACGTCAAGTGGCAATTATTTCATTCATATTCAAAACGAGAAACTATTAAAAATCAATACAATTGGTAGGTTCTTGAAAGGTGACAGCAAACAGGATGAAGGTCGGTAAATGGGTTTTGTCACTGGAAAACAATGATATGATGAATGGCAACAAACACTTTCCTTTCCGCCAGGCCACCTATGAACCCCAAAAGAGTCTTTGACGTGCTGAGTGTTATCCTCTCTACATGATATTTAACGTTCACATTCTGACTGGACTAAGCTGCTAATGTATACACCAACGCAGCTACACTGATGCCCAACATATGTAAAGGGTTTTACTACCAGTCGGAAGAAGACTACGACAACCATATTTCTATACACCCTTCATCTTGGGGATGTCCTTGAGATATGAAAGGTATGATCGTAGTTGAATAAAACTACTTTCTTTTTTTTCGAAATGTCTTGAAGCAATTCATTTTATAAATCAAGCACATGTTGATTGTAGATTTTACTTTCATTTTCTCTTTATATTGTTGATGGGTTTGCTGTCTTTTATTTTCTTATTTCTTCTATATCACAGGTTTTGCTGTCTTATTTTATATTTCTCTCATTTCACACAAGTAAAATAGATATAACCTATCCTGCTATAATTTTTTTTATATAAATATGGGTGTCCCCAACAGTCGTAAATAGATTTGATTATATACATATAGTTTTTTTGTTTAGGTTTCCACATTTATTTATTTTGTTGACCCAAAGTTATTTTTTTTTTTTTGGAATTTGTAATACATAATTATGAGTTTGTTATTACTAATGATAAAACAGCAGGATCTTTTGCAAAGAAAGCAATATAGATGAATTTGCTTGACATACCATAGCCTCATCAAAGATACCAGGTTTATAAATTTGTATTGTCAGATACACATTTTGTTTACAACAGACTCATCAGTGACGCTCAATTAAAAAATGGTTAAAAAAATTATTGCTCAGTGCAGCATATTTTAACTGAAATTTCTTACTAATAAAATCTAACCAACACATTGGAAGGTATGATTGGTGTTAAAAAGCTGCACATGTTGAAATATACAGGGAAATCGAATCAATGTTATTAGAAAAAATTCAATTATTTTTATTTTTTTATAAAAGTTTACAACTGTACTACAAAGCACACAAATATCTATATAATTATTCTATTAAATAAATATAACTAAAATGCAAAAAGTCTTTTTAGATAAATGCTTATTAACTAGATGTATTCTGTAAGATAAAATCCTGAAACATTAAAAAGACAATGTAGTGATAGTCTAGCAGACTCTATATACTCATAAATTCAGAAAAATATGTTTTCTTGTTTACTTTCTCTTATATGGAAAAATGTTTTAACATTCTTTAGAAAAATGTTCCAGCTGATCACAATAACCACATGAAATATGCAAATAACTTACATCAAATGTTTGCAAAATTTAAAATTTTGAGAATTTTCAAATCTCATGGGTAGTCAAGGTCATAATACACCCCCTAGTAGTAGTATATTTGTACTAAAGTACTGAGGCATCCAGTACCCCATCATTGTAGTAGAATACTACTCGCAAAAAACTAAATGTGTGGTTGAATTGTTGTGATGTTCATCCTGTCAAAGTTTATGATTAATGACAACACCACCTTAATTTCTGAATTAGTATTGATTGTAGCAAGCAGCTGAAACCAACAAAGAGGCATACAAATAATAATGTCCCACTGAATAAAAAATAAATGAAAAATGTACAAGTATTGAAACAAAATGTTTAAAGTGTAGATGGACAATAAAGCAATATCACAAATCTAAAAAACCTGATTATTTTTTGTTGATTGCACATTTGTTTAGCATAATTAACCTCAAACTGTTAAAAATGCATTTATATGAAAAGACATTATGTTTTAGCATCATTTTATTTTAACTAACTACATTCTCCTCAATACTTCCTTCTCTTAAATCATCTTTTTTTATAAAAAAAAATTAGTACCAACACTTACCTGCCTCTTGTTTAGATGTTAAATTACAGGGTGAATTTGGTGGTTAGGACATGGCTAAAGACAACTTTTATCCTTCATGGTTATTTCTAGACTTGTGATAGTTCATCAAACAATATGAATTGGAATTTTGTATGGTTTAATACATGTTGACTGTAAGAGGAACTTATGATAGAAATAATATCTACATGTATAATCTTTTTTCAAGAATTTTCATATGATAGTTCTCATAATTCACTTTATTATTTCCCTGAAAATGTCTTTGGATTGATCCAGGGATTTTCCTTAAAGGGAGGTAATTCAAAAATTAAAAATGATTTGTGAAGAAAAATATAATGTAATGTTATATGTATTATTTACTAATTCAATTAGATATAAATATAATAAAAATATGATTGTACAAAGCTAAATAAAGAAAGACAGGAAAGTACATATATAAGACAACAAAGTAGATAAAAGAAAAAATATATGTAACAAAAAACTTTTCCCTAAATATATACAAATAAAATAGAATAGATATTTCAATAAAAAATTTCTAAATAGAAAAAAAAATATGTGTTCTTGCATTGCATTTACAGAATAAATTTTTAGACTACAATCAAGGCACAGTATGTCATTCATTTGCAACCCTAAAAGATATTCCTAAGAAAAATTCATATTTAAGATTGACCAATCATTTAATTATATATTAGACCTGGAACCAGTTCCTTTTCTATGTATTTAATAAATTTAATTTAAAGGTTAATAATTTTATGTCATGAGCAGGCTTATATTTTTGTATGGCAAATGCACGTTTCATCTACAAAAGACTCATCAGTGACGCTAGAATCCAAAAAGTTAAAAGACAAAATAAAGTCTGAAGTTGAAGAGCATTGAGGGCCAAAAATTCCAAAAGGTTTTGCCAAATACGGCTATGGTCATCTATTCCTGAGAAAGAAAATCCTTAGTATTTAGAATAATTCAAAGTTTTGTAAACAGTTAATCTATAAATATGACAACAATAGACATATTGTTCATTATCAATACTTATAACGCAGTAACATTAGTACTTTTCTAGACTCTCTATAAGCACATAAAAACGTACGGGAAATTCTAAAGCTATAATTAATGAATTATGAAAATTTAAAAAAAAATACACATTACTGAGCAAAGATCAAAGTATTCTGATAAAAAAACAACAATACTTATAGAGTTCCTGATTTACATAAAAGTTTGAATGAAAATTTTATAAAATTCAAAAAATGTACATAAATGGTCAATTGTGAAGAAATAATGTATCAGCTTTGTCATAGTATGTTGATGACTTATTTTATGGCTTGTAATTCTGTAATAATTTGTTTTGCATTTTTTAAAGCATAAAGAAGAAACTATAAAAATGCTGTTAACAAAAAAAAGGAAATTACGATGTAATAAATGATAAACAGAAAGGGATTCATACCTCAATTTTTTTAATACAATTCTTTTAATACAATGTTTTAAAAGACAACACTTGAATTATTAAAACCGTATAATTGATTGATTGATTGTTGGTTGCTTAACGTCCAGTGGCATAAAACTGTATAATCATGCTGATCAAATCTTATTTGCACATTGATTTCTTTGTCCTAAATTATGTTTTGCTGTTATTAATGTATTTTTTGCTAGTGATTTTGCTTGATTTAAAATAAATGCAAACTAGAGGTACTGCGAGCAAAGTTAACAAAATGACACTCCTGTCCGTGCAAAGTCCATGATTTGCTATGAGAAACCTGAAAAATAATTTGGAACAAAATTGGTGTAAAATAATTCTAGTCAAATGCAAAATACAAGTTTTACATAAGTTGTAAAACATAAATGCATTATACAATAAAATGCAATATCTATATAATAATCTTGCTGGCAATTATATGTAGTATAAAGAAAAAATATTTTTTGAGCTTCAATGATATTCTTGGCCTAACATAAACATGATAAAGGTATTATTCAATCAGATAAAAAGAATATTTTCCTTATTACTGCGTGACATTATTGTGATTCTTCTAATAAATGTTATTGGCTTATAACATCTTCATCATAAATAGATTGATTAATTGTTTTTGCTTAACATCCAGCAGCTCTTTTCCAAAAAAAATGTTACGACTAAAATTGACCGTAAAGTATGCTGAAATGTTCATTCATGAATGTCTTACGAGAATTTGTTTTTGTGAAATATTTTGTAAATCATTACCCAATACTAAAATATATGCAAATTACAAAGAGAACGAATATCACGATAGAAATTTACATGAGGTATAAAATTAGGTATAACACACAATAATACACGTATAATACACATATAATAATTGAAGACAAATTGCTTGGGCAGTATACAGCTCTGAGTATATAAAAATACATACATAAAAAAATAATACAAATAAACATATAATTGACAATTTGCACTCTATATGAGTATTTTAGATTTTATATTTAGTATAAATTGCTGATATGTCCTTATACAAGTCTATAAATTGGCAAAATGCCTAACATGTGAATTCAATGAATCTTATTTTCATTTTTTAATAATTGTTAGGTGTATGAATAACTTTTACAATATGCTTTATATGAGGTTAAAGTCCTCAAAAACAGTAAGAAAATCAATAAAAAGAAAAATCTATATAAAAATCAATGTACTAATTAATAAAAAATCATAATTTTTTTTACAACATTTGCACTAGCGCATTACCTTCCAGACAGAGGCTTCCATGTTTAAAAGCATATAATATCCTGTGAATTTGTATATCCGATTACCAAAAATTATCATGAGAATAATAAGGACAATCCTCTTTCACTTTAAACACCTGGCTCATGTTAAAAAAAATTTTTTTAAATTTAGGTCCAGTAAAATAACATTTGGTTGGACAAAAGATACATACACCTAAAAATAAATGAACATAGAAATTTAATTTCATGTTTTACTCTTGTAAATAAGAAGATGAAATATTTATAAGAAGTACTTTAAGGTTCTTGATTATTATTCTTACAAAAAATCTGAGCATTGTAACATCATTTTAGTAACCTTCATGAATTATCTCCCTTACAGCATTATTGCTACATTTTGAAATATTCTACAAGTTTATGAAAATGTGTTCCCTGCATACTAAAAGATAAATATAAAAATCTTATACAGTAGATAAATATTAAACTAAATTATGCAAAATTTCATTGCGTAAATATTCAATGTTATAAATTATTTCTTTGTAAAAATGTGTTTTTCAATTTTCAATCTCCTTAAAAGTTCATTTATAATTTTTTTCATATTTCTTGTCTTACATGAAATAATGCACAACCACTGAACTTTTTACATGAAATATACACACCAACAGTTAATTTCACATTAGTGTATTACATCTACATTTACATTACTACATGTATATATACCTATATAGTAACAACTACTTACAAATATTTTAATGTACATTACAATATGTATAATATAAGCTATATAAATATTTTTTTTACTTTCATCTCTTCCAAACCCTCTTAGGCTTGGAAGGTTTCTGTTTTCCTGTAGTTTTCTTTGAGGATGACGAGGTTTTCTTTTGTAGACTCTGTTCCCATAGTGGTTTCAGACTCTTCACCATTGACCAATAATTGTTCTAAAATGAAAAGGCAAAGTAACTATAGCATTGGTAAATTTAATTAATACTCTGGGACTTTTCTCACAAAAAATCTGATGACTAAATGTGATTGTATTAAAGTTATACTGAAATGTTCATGACTTACAAGTATTTTTACTCGTAAGATTTTTTGTGAAATGGGTTGCTGTTCCCATAGTGGTTCAAACTCTTCCTCATTAACCAATGATTGTTCTAAAATAAACACAGAAGTTTCTCTAGTTTTTGTTAAATACTATTTGAAAACAGATGAATGACTTTATACTAAATAAATGTATATTATAGCTTCAAGCACACCAATAAAACACTAAAATAAATATATATACAGTCACAATTTGAACATTATCCAATATCCAAATGTTCCGAAATGTACTACTATTGATTTATTGTCTTCCTATACTCTTAATTTGCAGGCAGCTTTTCTGTTCGCATTGACCTTAACCATGAGACCTCTTGTTAGAACTTGGGCAACTGCACAGTATAAGTGAGAGGGAAAAAACGTGATAAATGAAAAGGTAAAAACATGCAGAATGTCTGAGTGTCATGAAAGTAGATAGTGTTAATAGATTCTGATAGAAAAATTTCTACTCACCAAATCATTTATCGTGACTTTTATGACAAAGTTTAAATACAAATTGAAACACATGGAAAATATATAAAAAAAAATAAACATCACTCCATCATCTCACTTAATTTTAACTTGCTCCAGAATTGTGAGTTATTTATTTAGCAAGGTCAGGATTGGTAAACTTCAGCACGAAAACCCAAAATTAGCAGCCGAAGTTTTCAATTAACACAGAATGAAATATTTTTGTTGACTATATGTTCTGGATTTGTAATAAATGTATACATGTGCACAGAGGACTTAATTTAGTATATGTGCATGCATACTGTTACACCACTTCCCCTGGATAGGGGAAGGTTGGTGCCTTCAAACTAGTTTAACCCCACCCCATTCTGTATGTGCCTGTCTCAAGTCAGGAGCCTGTAATTCAGTGATTGTGGTTTATTGCTGTATATCATATTTGTTTTTCTTTCATTATTTTGTACTTAAATCAGGCTGTTAGTTTTCTGGTTTCAATTGTTTTACATTTGTCATTTCAGGGCCTTTTATAGCTGACTATGCGGTATGTTTTTTACTCATTGTTGAAGACTGTACAGTGACTTATAGTTGTTAATTTCTGTGTCATTTGGTCTCTTGTGGAGAGTTGTCTCATTGGCAATCATACCACATCTTCTTATCTTTATATTGGTTCAATAATTTACTTAACATTATAGTCACAAGAAACTACTTTTGTATGACTTTTAAAAGATTACATGATGATCATAACCCCTGCTTGCATATAAAGTTATAAAGGGGTATAACTCCAGAACAGTTGAAGCTACGCCACCCAAATTCGAACTTGATCTGTGTGTTGTGGTAATAAGCATTATGTATAAGTTTCATAACATTTGGTTGAGGCAAACTAAAGTTAGAGAACAGAAACCTTTTTTTGGTTGTACCGACGGACAAGGGTAACACTTAATGCCCCTCTGGTGACAGCGGGGCGTAAAAAGTCTGCCCATATATTTAGAGCACCAAAATGACCTGAAAACACCACTATAATGAAAAAAATGGTGAAAAATTAAAAAAATACCTTACTAATAATTAAATTAATAGCACTAATTATATGATAAATCATAATATGCAATGCATAATTTGTTCTTTGTAATTTCATTTGCATATATAAAACAAGCATTATACACTCTGAATTTTACCTGTAATGTAGTAAGTCTAGGGCTAGGTGGATTACAAGCTTCCTGATAAAGCCGATCTTCTGTGCTCTGCAAATCCTGGAACAAATATCTGATTATTGTATATACTAGATATAGACATTTTGTGTGAAAGGTTAAAGCAGATAAATTCATTTAACCCACACTAATTAAGAAAATTTTATAATTTAGTACATGTGTAGGTATTTATGTGTACATTTGTCTTTCCAGCAAGAGATGAAAATAAGAAATGCCAGGATTTCCTTTTTTAAGAAATTAAGGGCAAAAATGTATTAGAACAGAAATAACAGTAATCAAATTTTACTAAAATTAATAGTGAATAACTGAGAACTTCCACATCTCAATTTCATTTGCATCAAACCTTATATTTTGTCGGATTAAACATGTGTCTGGTTAACAGTTATTAAGATTATTTGTTGTTTTCCTGATGCAAGATTTTTGTTCTGACAGACACATTTCCAGTTTATGCAGTGTTCACTTTATAAAAATATAAAAATAAGAAGATGTGGTATGATTGGCAATGAGGCAACTATCCACCAAAGTTCAAATGAAGTGGATGTAAGCAATTATAGGCAATCGTACGGCCTTCAACAATGAGAAAAAACCATACCATATGGTCGGCTATAAAAGGACCGGACATGAAAAATATGAAACAAATCAATTGAGAAAACTAACGGCCTAATTTATAACAAAACAGTTTACGAAAAACAAATATGACAGACATGAACCAACGACAACCACTTAACTACTGACTGGTTTCCCTGTAATTTTCTGTAGATAATAAGTGCGATTGGCATTCAAAGTTATATGTATAAGCCTGTTTTTTTACCCTCAATTAAACTAATGCGTTTGTTCCTATCAATATTTTGTGACTGATTCAGAATGATCTTGTCATATATATGTCTTTAAATGACAAAAAAAGAGCACACTTGGCTCTAATTAGACCTAGACCAAAAATCTCCAACCACAATATTTCAGCCCTCACTAAAAACTTTTAACAAGTTAGAAAATCAGTAAACATGTCATTAATATGGCTTGTAAAGCCTCTTTTTAGGAAAATTTTACAGGCACGGCCGCATGGCAACATTTTTACTGACCTAGATTGTAAGGCTTGCGGTTTATTGGGAAGACTGCAATATTTCCAAAAAGTTGTGTTTTACTCAGGGCTTCCAAAATTATTTTTAGCCAGCCGGACATTTTATTTATTATCCCGATTTTAATCCCATAAGACTAAATAAACAAAAGGCAATTATGGTAATCAGTTGCCGAGTTGGCCATCCCAATGTCAATGATTGACATTAAAAAAAAACGATATTAAAACTTTTACTCTACCATATCTACTATTTGAATTATTGTTTTACTGTGCATGGCTTCATATAAAATTAATTTATATTTCAATATATTGTATTTATATCATCTATATACATGTAGTATCTGCAACTTTAGTAGGTCTAAGAAATAAAAAGATTTCTAGGCCTAAAATAAAATATTGTTTGTTTCCCCAATCCCGACCGACCCTACAAAAATGGTCCTACTCATGAAATTTTATTGTCAAAATTTAGTCAAATATTATTTTATTCATTTCCGATTTTCAGGCTTGCCGTATCATCCGAAAATGTTCAAGCTTTTTGGAAAAATAAAATTATTTCCCTACCTACCTACCCACACCTGCTTGGCAGGGTCGGGATTGGGGAAAGGAACAATATATTAATTTAGGCCCTACCTCCAACAACTCCGTGTTTCTGATTGTAGCTGTATTTACATGAGTTTTCACATTCTGACGTCTGGCTAGCTGACTTTCAACATATGTCATAGAATAATGAACAAGTGTCTCCCTCTTGGCAACACTAAAAAGAGAAATATTTATCTGAAATTATATTAAAGGTACTGTAAAGGAGTTCACAAAATGGAACCCCATCAAATTAAGATGAGTTTAATTATCTCCCCTTACAGATGTCCCAGTGAAAAATTTTGTTTCAATAATATATCCTTGTGGTCTAATGCATGAAAATACAGAGGAGTTAAGATTATGCTTAAAAGATAAATGGTCAAATAAATGGGACAGATATATGTAAGTAATTTCTAAAATGCATAAAAAAAATTGCCATCAGAGTTGAGGCATGTAAATTAATATTCATTTCTTCCATTATACTACATGTACTACCATGTTGAAAATATTATTTCTACAAGGAAATGTATATGCAAGGTGAATAAAAGGGTATTTACCGTAAGTTACATGTATATAAAAATCAATCAGAATACAACTGTTACACAACTATTTAACAATAGTGCTAAAATATAAAATAAATTGTCATAATGAAAAATATTACTGTAACTTCTTATATTCGTCTGACATTGTGAAAATATAGGAAATTCTAAATGTTGACAATTCTATGATGTTCTAGGCTTTTACTCAATATGGCTTGCAAGCGCTTTAAGATATGAATTTGATTAAATATGTTTATTTCAACACAATCAAATTTTGTATTGCTTATTTTATGTAAGGACTTTAATATCACTATCAAAATTTCTAGTTTTACAGTACTGTAAAATTGTTTTTTATTATTACCTTTTTCTTAACTTTTAACATGTTTAATGATAACAGGAAAATAAAGAGAGAAATAAAAGAAGAATGCATCTGAGGACACAAATGCCATCAGCTCAAGCTTTGCAATTTTAAAGAGTTAAAAGGGGAATAACTCTAATACGGTAAGTGACTCACCACCAAAATTCGAACAATGTTTGCTAGTTTTGTTATAAGCATTGTGTATGAGTTTCATAAAATTTGGATGAGGAAAACTTAAGTTAGAGTGGAGAAAAGAAAATGGGACTGAGGGACAGACAGATGGAAGGACAGTCACGGGTAACACTTAATGCTACGTTGCCTACAGCGGGGACATAAAAATGCTGTCTTGGTCCCGATATGTCGTGATGCTGAAATGACAGAAACAGTGCCAAATTGTATTAGGAACAAGGTGCTGAAATGTTATTTACTTTAATACCATCTGAAATTTGTCTGAATGTCATTGATTTTCATGTATTTGTGTTGTTAAAGTTAATCTTCACTGCATGGTTTCATAAAATCCGGTCCCAAGTCGATCCAGCCCCAAGTCGATCCGACCCCATAATAAAATAATGAATAATTTATATCAACTTCGGAGGATTTGGTGACATATTTGAATAAGGATAAATGGAATTTGTAAAAAGTATCGATGATTAATGACAGCAGGTAAGTGAAGTATGCCTAATATTGGAGTAACATCGGATAAATTATTTTAAATCGATACAAAAATTAGTATGATCGGTATACTGTTTGTAAAGCAGCATCAGTATATAAATATGAAGTTATTTTCCATGATAACTTGGAATATCATGGGGAAAAGGTTTTTATTTAATTCACACATAGAACATGTAGAAGAGACAAATATATAGATATTAATTTACAATCCAATGGAACATATGATTCTGTAATTATCAAAATGACTTGTTTAAATCAAATCATTAGTCTATAATTGGTTTGTTTATTCAACAATTGTCTGATGATCATGAACCAAAGTTATGCCAGTCGTAATCACTTAATTCAATCAAAATCATGATTGATAAAATTTACTTATAATCAGCAAAGTCTTTATAGTTTGATCTTTTATTTGAAGTTCTAATAATCAATTTTTATATTTTTTTTTAGGTAACATGAAGAAGAAATGTACCATTATTTCTTTTCATTACTGTCTTCTATGTGTTGCGTTTTTTTTTTTTTACCATCGAACTTGTGTCAAATACATTTTTAAAATTTTACAATATTTACATTAATAAATGATTTATATTTATCTTTATTTTTATTCCTTATAAATATTTTTTATATTGGGACCGGATCGACTTGGGACGGATCGACTAAGGGCCAGATCGACATGAAAGCCTTCATGTTAACAGTTTGACAAATGGAGATTTATTAAGATTATCCATAAATATTATTTGGAAAATTTATCAGGTTTGCAATAATAAAACTTTCATTCATAAACTTCATATATCGGATAAGACTATATATCAAAATTCATTGCTAAATTATTTATATCTGATATAATTTTGACAACAGAAACTTGCAGTTCTTCATGAAGACGACTGAGCTGTATTTCTCTTTTTGTCCATTCATGCAGCCTATCTCGGTAAACGTTTTCAGCCGAGCTATTTAATGTCATCACTTTCATTTTCTGAATTCAGTTGCATTGCTCCTATGCACAGATTTTCATTCTTTTCTCTGCATGCTAACTCGGTTGTCCGAGACGCCTTAGACTTTTTCGATCTTCTTCATTGAAGAGTTCGCCGGTACTGGATTGAAGGCTGTCTGTAAATATCAACTGCATAATAACCTACCAGTGCATTAATTATGTATGACAAGCGTTGCAGAGGTAGCAGATGCAGTTTTTTTTAATAATTATCTTACATAGAAAGTGGTATGTTGAACTTCTAATATGAAAAGTAATAATAAAAATGGAATGGAACATAAACAAATGACAGAGTTATCTCCCATGTCAATGAATTTTTATTTTTGCTACATAAATTGATTGATTGATTGTTGGTTGCTTAACGTCCAGTGGCAAATATTTCATGCATGTTCAGGACGAGCACAAATTAACAAAAAATACAATAGGCAGGTCCTGTTATAGAGGCCATCCAAGATGAAGGTTGGGGGAAATTTAGACTGCCACTGGAAAATAAGGGTAAATTGGATAGGGACAGAAATTTTGCCTTGAAACATGCCACCTACAGATCCCTCAAAGAGTTTTTGCAAGGGTTTTTAATGTGCAGAGAGCGTGGTACTCTCTCTACATGAGGCATCAGATTAATTAACATCCCCATACTGACCGGACGTGGCTGCGTACTTGTACATGTGCATTCTGCACAGCCAAACGGACACCCACTTTGGCAAGGGATTTACTGCTGGTCGGAAGAAGACCTGTAGTAGCCATATTTCTCTTCTCCACTCACCCTTGGGGGTTAGTGCTACATAAAAAAAAAACGTTTTGTATAATGTAATTACTATTTGAAAAACACTAAAGTTGAAAATGATGATAAAACTGTTGTGGTCCAGATATAGAGATCATGCCAGTCATGTCACATTTTTGTGGGTAGTGGATTAAGTAATGTTCTTTATCTGTTTACCACTCATGCGCCTATTATAAGAGGGTAGGAATGCCCTTTACTGTCAGGCGTCAAACAGTCATTTTCGGCTACGGCGTTTAAGCAACAAATTTGTTAAAATTTTATCCTGATTCGTCAAAATATCCTTGTCATGATTTGTCAGAGGTCTCAAAAAATTAATCGTTACCGTTATTTTTGGAAAGAATTTAACATGATTCGTCAAAATCAGTCGAATTTTTTATCATCATGCACCAAAAATTACCGTTAACTTCATTAAGCAAGATTTTTTACCGTTAATCGTCATGAAAGTACCCCCATTACGACCCTCTTATAAAGGTCATATTGATTAAATTTTTATTATGATTCCTCATAATATCCTTATGATTTGTCAGAATTGTCAATTGATGGTACATGTAACTGTTATCAAACAAAAAAATAAACAGTTATTGGTTGAAATAGAAAATTTGTTATCATCAAGATCATACAAAGAAGAATTAAAATAAAGCCCAGATTCTGTACTGTACAGGAATTTTGTATCAGAAAATTAACCAGTATTCTAACCATAGCTGTTATTAAATATGATAACTTGTAGCTAACAATTTTTTTTTTTTTACGTCTCTGTATGACTGACCACTTACAGTACTTTTGTATCTTCACACTGAGTTTATATTCAAATACATTCATAAATAATTAATATAATATTGTATCTGCAATCGAGGTGTTTCAGAGGAATAAAGAAAATGTTATTAAATATAGAGTTTTTGTAAGCTGGATAAATTTTTACTTGTCAGCTACTTCCTTGTCAGATTTTTTTTTCATTTTCTGAAATGAATTCCTTATATATATACATGGCTATCTTTGTGTCATTTCATATGATTTATCACATGATCTTGTATTAAGAATAGCTTTCTCAAACATAAATATAAAATAAAAAGATTTTGTATGATTGACAATGAGACAAATATCCATCTCATGTGGGATCTCCTCCTGTATGAAGGTATACACAGACTGGCCTTTGGAATCTTCAATGGGTCACTGATTGTTTATATGTCATATCATAAGGGTTATATTTCACCAAGGTAATATGTACATGTGATTATATCAATGGGTCCTAAATTTTCATCTTCCAATTAGATGTCTGTATATATATATATATATACTCTATTAAAATGGGTTTCAGCCCACTTTATTGAACAAAAATCAAATAAAGGACATTCTTTTAATGGGTATTGCTATTGAATTTTTATCTTCCCTGGTTTACATGTACATGTACATCATCAAATCTTGTGTAATTGCCAAGTGGTGATAATGACTATATACATGCATTTTTGGGGCATTCCTGAAAATTACTTCCTGGTGAGGGTATGGAGACCAAATGAAAATGTAGTTTTACCACTGTTATCATGGTTATTTTTTTTTTTTTTCAAATGTAAAATGAATTATTTAATACTGCATCCTGAATATGCAGAAACGTTAGTTGAAAGGAATAATCTCATTGACAAAAGATTTTTTTTTAATCCTATTCCCACCCCACCATCAAGAAAAATCTTGAGAAAGCTAATTTCTTCTTACTTTCTGCTTTAAATATAAAGTTGTTAATGACTTAATATCTTTTATTTGTAAATAAGTCCTTGATTAAAAAAAAAAGATGTGATATGATTTCGACAACTCAAACTTAAAAATTAAAGAGATGTGGTATGATTGCCAATGAGACAACTATCCACCAGAGTTCAAATGAAGTGTATGTAAGCAACCATACGACCTTTAACAATGAGAAAAACCAAAAAGTTCAAAACCAATAACTAATAAAACAAATCATGTATCTTAGACTAAAATATCAATCAATTAGCATGTTTAGTGTTCGTCTTTGAAAATTAAGCATGATATTAAAGTAAGTCTAGATATATTATTCAAACGATTTTACAGTATCAATTGAGTATCTTTGAGAAAACTGAATCATGCTGAGAATATTTTTCATAATTTCAGATCAATATAACTATATATATAGACAAAAATGGGTGTGAGAGGACTGTTATCCACATGCTTGAGAAGACAGGATGAATGTGTAGAGCAGGTTGACCTGATTGAGGTCGCAAGAGAGAAAAATGGAATTGAGATTTTAGTGGACTATTATTCATTTCAGCAATTTCTTATATACAAATTCTGGTATGGTTTACAGCAATATCGTAATAATGAGTTTTTAAGAATCTGTGGTGGAGAGTATGGAACTTTAGAGGCTTATATTACAAAATTTGTAAAAGACCTGCAAGCGCTTGACATCACTCTTTTATTTTATGTTGATGGTGCAAAAGGAACATGTACAGAGACAACAAGACAAAAAATTGATACATGGATGAAAAGGCAGTATGCAGATGTTGAAAAGTTAAACCAAATAATGGACGTTTGTCGTGGAGTGACTTTTATTCAAGATCTGCCAGAAGATATATTGATAAGGCCAGTTTTGCTTGAAATTGACATATTTCACACATTAAAACAGCTAGGATGTTCAATAATTCATGCAATAGCCGGAGAAGCAGACTATATAATTGCTAAAGCTTTAAAAGACAGACCTCAGGCATATGCAATATTATCTAATGATTCTGACTTTTGTATCTTTAAAGACTCTTGTTTTATTCCATTAGAGCTATTTGATCAAAACCATGATATGAAATTAGGGTATCCAGGAGATTTACCAGAACAGCCACTAAGACTTATGGTAGGGGTGATAAGACCTGCAAAGGTTATGGAAATGTTAAAGGTATAAATTTAATATTTAAAACTGATTTCAATAATTACACTGGAAGAATTAATTCTCCTTATTACATGTATTATAATGAAGTCTTTTTCAATTCACAGTCACCGTTTCAAAATCGTAAGGATAATGAATTATTTCATCGATAGTACACAAAAATCAAAATGATGTCACATGATTGCCATGATTTTAGGACGTTTGCAACCAATCAATACGTCTTTTTGACATGTTTGAAGGTTTTTAAAAATATTACCCAGGATGCACTAGATTCTGAAACGGCTTATTCTTACACTTATACTTCTTCTCTATTAAAGTAAAATGGTCTGAAATGAATATATTGATGTTTTTTAATGTCCAGCAGCAAATATTACATTTAGAATGCTGATCAATCTGTGCTGTAACTCCCAAATACTACTTGCATAATACATGGCTGCAACTTCCTAGTTTTTTCTCAACTTTGGCACGAACTTAAAACATTCCACTCTATAAAAAATATGTATTACATGTATTAATAAACAATGAATATTTGTATATGAACTGATCTTTTTTACTATTTTAAAATAATATTTTTTCAGTTTAGAAATTATCAATTATTGGTTGAATTGGCAGTTGTTGCTGGTAACGATTTTACAGGACAGTTCATGCATAACGGACTTCAGGCACAGCTAGACATCCGAGGACACCCTAATATTCAGAACATAGCTGGCTGGTTATGGCATTATAAAAGTGCTGATCATCATCCTGTGCTTAATAATGCAATGGTAAGAAAAGTTTACATACTAAAGGCATTGAAAACAATTAAATCTCTTTACATTTACATAGATATAAGAAGATGTGGTATGAGTGCCAATGAGACAACTTTCCATCCAAGTCACAATTTGTAAAAGTAAACCAATATAGGTCAAAGTACAGCCTTCAACATGGAGCCTTGGCTCACACCGAACAGCAAGCTATAAAGGGCCCCAAAAATGACTAGTGTAAAACCATTCAAACAGGAAAACCAACCGTCTAATCTATATAAAAAACGAGAAACGAGAAACACTTATGAACCACATCAACAAACGACAACCACTGAACATCAGGTTCCTGACTTAGGACAGGTGCAAACAAATGCAGCGGGTTTAAACGTTTTAATAGGTGCCATCCTTCACCCTACCTGAAACAATAGTGTACCATCACAACATAGAAAGACACACTATAAAATATCAATTGAAATAGCTTAATTCAATCAAAAGACATATTAACAAAAACAAGTGAACATACACTGAACGAATAAATTTGATCTATGACACAATGTAAATACAAAATTGATAAAACAAGGGGGTTAAATATAAAACAATATCAGAAAGACAACCATAACCTTGCACAAAATGCCGCCAAATAAAAAAATGTACACAGGTAAATAAAAATAATTTTGTAGTAAGGTAAACATGGAGTAGGGAAATAATTTTTACAAAATAAATAATTTTTTTGTTCCTAGTACGAGAACAAATATACTGTTTGAAGAATACTTATATATATTCTCGGGAGAAACACTTCCTATATACAAGATGATAGGACGTGTCGCTGGAATAGGTCACTTTTTTCCGGCTTGAGAATATGTGAATAGGTTGGGAAAACTATCAGAAATATATGATAAGGTCAATAAAGTTCCAATTACTAGTATATGAAAAGCCCTGTCATTTTTTCAAAGCCGAAAGTCTCGCTGTAAGTAAACATTACATACAGAATCTTAGCCTTAAAAATTCCACTTTTCCAACACACCACTCGAAACCCAACCAATATGGGAAAAGGTTACATTTTTACCTAAGCAATATATGAAAAGGTATACATTTTTAAGATCTAAATTATATGATAAGGGTGGGGTAACAAAACTCAGCAGCACCCCCTATCAATTAAGTATCAAGGTTGCTCCCCCGAGTATATATTCTAACATATAATGACTATATATGAAATTTTTGGGGAACTACAACTAAGAGGTTCTTGAAATTTGGTATTTGGTATAAGGCTTCATGCCAACATGCTATACCGTCTAATACACTGTGACAGTTTCACATTCACTGCTCATCAGCTTCATGTTTACCAAATTCTTGTATATTATACTAAAATATAGAGGCCATGTATGAAACCTTTGTCACATTTTTCTAAGGAACTACAAATAAGAGCTTCCTAAAATTTTAATAAGGCTTCATGTGAACATGCTAATCCTTGTAAAGTGTTTTCAAAATAATTTAATACTTAAAATGGGGTATCAGAAGTGAGCAATAGGTCACTACTTGTCAACTAGTTTAGAATGATTTTCTTTTTCAGAGACAAAATCCTCAGTTTTGTAATGCTGTCCAGCACAGTCGGAATTTCTATACATTATCCTACTCAGAAGATACAGTGAAACCTCCACAAAAAGGTTACTTCTCACAACTGATTGGAGAGAGAATAACTAGTGGTACACTTCCATCAAACATCATGGCAATGCATAATAACTTTTACTGGCATCGGATGTGTCTTGAAGACAACTCTCAAGGATGGCCCTGTGTTGAAGTCTCATTGGCAGAATTACGAGGTAGAATTTATCGCATAGTCCTTCCAAGGCAGGAATGTTTGGTTAATGAACATGGGAGAAATCCATGGGAGCCTTTTAAGTCTGCTGGGGTAAGTACTGTAGTTTATTTTGAAAAACAGTAGTCCCCTTTTAATCAAACCCCTCTCAATATGAACCTTTCTTTATCAGGCCTAGTTTTTTTGCCCATTTACTCCGGTAAAAGTAATTTCCTTTAAGGATGTACTTAGGTGAAATTAAAAAAGTCTTGAATTAAAAATTGATACTTTAAGTCAGAAGAGCATTAGTTAAGGAACAAAATAAGCTAAAAATATTGATAGGTTATGGAGCTCCTTTTCAAGATATTTAATTTTTTTAAAATGGCGGGAAAAGGCTGACTCCGAGTTTTACCTTATATTTGCATCGTTATTATTTGGGTCTCAAATCGAAAGAGTAGAAATCTAGAATCTGCTTAAATTTTGGTAAATGACCTTTTATGAGCTATTAAAGTCTTATGTAAAAAGAAAAATGGGTGTTATGGGGCAAAATGTTTTACCCTGAATCGTAGGAAAAAAACCAAGGAGTCTGAACATCTGACAAAAATTCCTAAACCTGACCTAAGTACATCCTTAAGTTTCAATAAAAGATTTTACTAGAGATCTTCACAAGTAAAGGTACCAGACTGACCATACAATTTTAGAATAGAAGCAAAATTAAGACATGTAAGAGAAAAGAAAGAAAAGAATATTTTTTTCTAAATGTAGCAAATATGAAAACCTATACCACAAGTTGAAAAAAAGATTATATACTACAAATGTATTGAACTGCTGAAACAAAAGCAAAAAATTCTGCAAGTTTGGTACAAGTCATCACAAAACACGGATTTCCATCATCTTAAAATATCTAGGGTTGTAGGAATGCTTCCTTAAACATTTTTCTCAAATTTGATACAATTTTATTCTGTTGAACAATTTTGTTAATGTAACACATTGAACTTAGTAGAGGGAGAAACACATGTGCATACAAGTAAAGGGAGGATTGAAAATTATTTGTGGCCAACTTAAATGCTATCCATAAGGGCTATTCCATGTAAATCAATTATGGAGGGTAGGAAGGGACTTCCAAAATCCCTTCCTTCATTTTAATGGAATAACCCTAATTTGATACAAGTACTAATATTATGAAAAAACTTAAAAAAACTAAAGTGTTATTATATATTCCAGATAATGGCATCAGATGATTCTGACCTCCCTGTTATACACAAAATACAACAAGATAAGATCTTCTGGAACCTGAAACATTTCCATCATGTCATGTCTCACCAAGAGGAACGTGAGTAAAAATATAAACAGATACAGTAAGATCTAACAGTATTTTTGAAACTTGTACCTGCAATAAAAGACAACTTATAAAAGTGATAAATTTTCGCCTCTTCTTTTTTAGCTCACCTGGCCCGAAGGTGTAAAACTGATTATCAGGTCAAGATCTATCTGCCGTGAAATTTTCAGACAAATCTGACAACCTGTTGTTGGGTTGTTGCCCCTGAATTGGTAATTTTAAGGAAATTTTGCAGATTTTGGTTATTATCTTGAATATTATTATAGATAGAGATAAACTGTAAACAGCAATAATGTTCAGCAAAGTAAGATCTACAAATAAGTTGTATGACCAAAATTGTCAGTCGACCCCTTTAGGAGTTATTGCCCTTAGTAGTCAATTTTTAACAATTTTTTGTAAATTTTTGTAATCTTTTACAAAAATCTTCTTCTCTGAAACTACTGAGACAAATTTAACCATACTTGGCCATAATCATTATTAGGGTATCTAGTTTTAAAAATTTGTCCGATGACCCTGCCTTCCAACCATCATGGCCGACTTGGTTAAAAATAGAACATAGGGGTAAAATGCAGTTTTTGGTTTATATCTCTGAAACTAATTTATAAAAGCATTTAGAGCAAAACTGACAGGTGGCAAAAATGTTCATCAGATTTAGATTTATCTGCCCTGAAATTTTCAGACGAATCTGACAACCCGTTGTTGAGTTGCTGCCCCTGAGTTAGTAATTTTACAAAAATTTTGCAGTTTTTTGTTATTATCTTAGATATCATTATAATATCTAATATCTAATACTATTAATTATGATTTTAACCTTATTTTACATGATTTCCAAAGCATCAGTAAATACAGGTGAGCGACACAGGCTCTTGAGAGCCTCTAGTTTTAATTTAAATGCAATGCAAACATCACCCATAACTTTAAAGATACAAGAACACTGAATATGACATTTATTTCATTATAAAAGGGTTAAAATGATTTAGGATACTAGTATTTCTTCAGGTACATGACAAACCAAAAGTTTAGAGAGCTGAAAAACAAACAAAAAGATACTGAGGCCTAACTAAAAATATTTTTGAATTTCTCATTATTACCCTTCACATTTATGGTATAACATTTTTTTTTCACTTTTAAATTGAAAAAAAACTGTCTGTCAACTTAAAGACATTTAATGTCTTTTTCAGAATACATTGAAAAAGAAAATGAAAATAGCGGTTTATCTTTAATAAAAGGAGATGGGTACACACTAATGAGACGGCAACCCAATGACACAATAAAGACACCTAGAGGTCAATGTATGGTCCGTTTTACTGTATCCAACACATTCCTAAATAAATATGAATAATAGCAGTAAAGTTGTCACCTACTGCTTGAATAGAGGTTAAGGTAGAAAATAAATAAACCTGCTCAGATTTCTGACCTTAATGTGCTGCAACTCAAATATGAAGCTTTTTATAGAGAGATTTGAAACGGCCAATTAAGAATAACAAGAGTTAATTCCCCTTGCATATAAGTATTTTATGTTTATATCATATACAACTTTTATGCAAGTACCAAACTATTTTATTTGAATCTTGATTGCTACTTATTATCAAATCAATATCTTTTTGAAATTTGTGTACAAGATCACCATAATTACCCAAAAGGCAAATTTTAATTTATTTCAAAAATAAATATTTGATTGGCTAGATGTGGTTAGACAGCTACCTATCAACAGCTTTATTTTACAGCTGGTAAGGGTGTGGTATGGTTTGACAGATACGGTAGAAAGAACGGTTTTATAGTCTACTTACTGAGGTACTTCCTGCTACAGAACTGGGGTAGAAATCTTCATATCATTGACAAAGAATTCCTAGCATTGGCTGCTTTAGCACTGGGTAGACCTAATGAGAAGCACTACCAGCAAATTCCTCTCAGACCTACACCTAGATGTGTTTCCATTGGCTCATGGTTTCAGGTGAGTCTTAAGATTGTCATTCTTTGCATGATCAAAGAACCCTTGCAATACTCCTAGTCCTAAGGTGCAAATGTCCTAAATTTACAGGCTCTGACCCTCACTTTTTACTGAAAAATATTCTTTTTAAAAATCAGTTATTTTCACTGTGATAAAAAATGTCTACCCAACCTCCTATTTTTGGGGCATGCAATTGGAAGCACATATAATTTATTTTTTTTGGCCTAAGAGTCCTGTAAGTAACACATTACAAAGCAAAATTAATTAAGGATTTTTTACTTTTATAACAAAGAATCAAAAACAATAACTAGATAGGGAGCAGTCTCTTTGTTGAAAATTTACGATTCAACGTTTTTTAGCTCACCGGGGCCCAAAGGGCTCCATGTGAGCTTATGCCATCACTTGGCGTCCGTTGTCGTCTGTCGTCGTCGTAAACTATTTAAAAAATCTTCTCCTCTGAAACTGTCGGGCCAAATACCTTCAAACTTTAACTAAATGTTCCTTAGGGTATCTAGTTTATAAATTGTATCCGAAGTTTTGATCCATAGACAAACATGGCCGCCATGGCTAAAAATAGAACATAGGGGTCAAATGCAGTTTTTGGCTTATATCTCAAAAACTAAAGCTTTTAGAGCAAATCTGACATGTGATAAAATTGTTCAATTGGTCAAGATCTATCAGCTCTGAAATTTTCAGACGAATCGAACAACCCATTGTTGGGTTGCTGCCACCGAATTGGTAGTTTTAACAAAATTTTGCAGTTTTTTGTTATTATTTTGAATATTATTATAGATATATATCAACTGTAAGCAGCAATAATGTTCAGCAAAGTAAGATCTACAAAAAAATTAATATGACCATAATTGTCAATTGACCCCTTAAGGAGTTATTGCCCTTTAAAGACAATTTTACACAATTTGTTCATCAAGTTTGCTAACATTTAAAAATCTTCTCCTCTGAAACTACTGGGCCAATTACCTTCAAACTTTAATTAAATGTTCCTTAGGGTATCTTGTTTATAAATTGTATCCGAAGTTTGTTTCCATAGACAAACATGGCCGCCATGGCTAAAAATAGAACATAAGGGTCAAATGCAGTTTTTGGCTTATATCTCCAAAACTAAAGCTTTTAGAGCAAATCTGACAGAGGTAAAATTGTTCAATTGGTCAAGATCTATCAGCTCTGAAATTTTCAGACAAATCGAAAAACCCATTGTTGGGTTGCTGCCACCGAATTGGTAGTTTTAACAAAATTTTGCAGTTTTTTGTTATTATTTTGAATATTATTATAGATATATATAAACTGTAAGCAGCAATGATGTTCAGCAAAGTAAGATCTACAAAAAAGTTAAAATGACCAAAATTGTCAATTGACCCCTTAAGGAGTTATTGCCCTTTAAAGACAATTTTACACAATTTGTTCATCAAGTTTGCTAACATTTAAAAATCTTCTCCTCTAAAATACAGGTGAGCGATTCAGGCTCTTGAGAGCCTCTTGTTTTATGACGTCACAAAAAGCCAGAGTTTTGATTTGCCATGAAATTCAACGAAAACAGGTCAATTTCCATAGGTTTTAGGACCTGAAACATTCCATATACGTTGCCAAAAAAGATCTTTTGACAATATTTTTGATTTAACAAATTAAATGTCTGATTGAATATTTAAGTTGTCCAACCCATTTCTGTATGTTTCTTAGACCTTAATGTAATTAGAATCCAGAAGATTTTGTCAATTTTCACCAAAATCCTTATTTTTAGCGATTTTGGGGTGTAAATGTCAATGCTCTATAAGAAAAGCTCGACAAAAATGTTTCACTTTCTTACATGTCTTTTCATCAATTTTTGTACACTGTTAAAATATATAGGGCAAAATAGGGCCCTTACCAAACTTACTCTGTCCCCCAGGCCCCCCACTTTCATTCTTCTTCATACTAATTATACAGAACCTACCTAATTGATTTTGGAGGGATTTTTTTCTTATCCTGAGAATGTATGAAATATTTGCTATTGGGCATTTAGAAAGCAATAATTAATCAATCAATCTATGTTATTTATATTTGTTGATTAGAAATACTTAATCATTTGTGAATCTTGCGTTACTTTTTATTCCAATGCAAAGAAAAAATGGTTTGAGTGAGTATAATATACAACTGTAAAATTCAATGGATACAAAGTGGGTATGGTGTATTAATTCATGACACTTGACAAACTCAAAGGAACAATGCTTTTATTGTTTTTTACAGCTCATAGATGCTATGAGGCTTTCAACTTGGAGCAAAATATCACAACTCACTGCAAGTTTAATATGGTCCTAGCACTGATATGAATGGCATACTTTGCTTTATGTTAATAGAGGTCCATCTGTTCATTGGAGAACGCCCTATTTTTTAAAAGTTTTTATGGATTGGAATACTGTGGATTCCAATTTTCTTGGATTGAACTTTTTTTTTTACTTTTGTAAAAACTTGATTTTTCTGGTTTTTATACACCCGTCAAAATTTTGACGGGACGTATTATGGTAAACAAATGTCCGGCGTCCACATGTCGCACAGTAACTTGAGAACAACTTATCCAAATTTCATGAAACTTAATACAGTTGTTTCTTATGATGGTCAAACGTTCTGTGAACTTTTTGGTGAAAATAAGATTAAAACTTTTTGAGTTACGGGACTTTGTAACTAAAACAGGGGGTGTTTTTTTCACATGTCGCACCGTATCTCAAAAACGATTTATGATTATTGCTTAAAACTTTACACACTTCTTAGTTATATTAATCTAAAGATCTGTATACTTTTTTGGGGATGATTCAAAATTTTATTTTAGAGTTATTGAGTTTTTTGTAAAAAAAGGGGGGGTCACATGTCGGGCCGTATCTCAAAAACGATTTATGATTATTGCTTAAAACTTTACACACTTCTTAATTGTATTAATCTAAAGATCTGCATTCTTTTTGGTGATGATTCAAAATTTTATTTTAGAGTTATTGATTTTTTTATAAAAAAAAAGGGGGGTTTTCACATGTTGCGCTGTATCTCAGAAATGATTTATGATTTTTGCATAAAACCTCACACACAAGACGACGGGCATATCATACGCTCGTGGAGCAGCTGTTTATTAACAAGTTCTATATTCAAACCTATAGAAAATTTGTACTTGTACTCTGTTGTTCATTTTAATTCATTTGTTTACCTTTATTCACAAAATGTATGAAAATTGGTATGAGACGAATGATAATGAATCCACAGTAAATTTTTAGGCCCCCGCCGTAGGCGATGAGAGCATTAAATGTTACCTTTGACCATTCGTCTTTCTGTCCATCTATCCCATTTTCATTACAAAGCTTGAACTGGGGCATTCGTGTCCTCAGACACATTCTTCCTTTATTTAAAAATATATATAAAAGCTGTATTGGAATATGAAAGATAAACATTACTGTTACCAAAATTTGGGTGGGAAAATGTGGTATTGTAAAATTACAATTCAACATTGACTTTGCTGTTTATACCGAAGTACCCATGAACTGTGATATTTTTATATTTGAGTAGCAGAAAAGACTTAATGTCTGTTCTAAAAGATTATGCCACCATAACTTTACAAATTTCTTCACGCTTTTAAATGGAATTACACTGACTATTTTTACCTTAGGTGCTTGTCATGAAAACGTTCCCATCCTGTCTAAAGTTCAATACAGTACAGGTTATTTCTCTGCCAGGGGCTTATTTACTACTGTGTTAACTTTCTGTCATTACATTCATACCTAGCAACTTTTTAAAATCTCCATGAAGACCTAATGCATTTCATACACACGAGGGTCTGGATGGGGTTTACAGATTAGAGAATAATGGGCAAAAAGTGCAGAATAAAGGGCCAGAAATCTAACGAATAGAGAAAAATAGCCAAAATATAAACAATAAAGAATAATGAGGTGCTGAAATATAAAGAATAGAGAATAAGGGTAAAAAAGGCAAAAGAGTACAGAAAAGTGGTATAAAAAGTTAAATAATAAAGAAATGAAGGACCCCCTATCCAGACTGTCATACATGGCATAAAAGTTTTTTATATAAAATTCTATAGTTTTGAATGAGTATATATGTGCTTAAATGTATATTATCTCTTTTGAATGCCTTTTTGGGGGTATTTATGTCATATAATTGAGGATTTCAAGTGTAAGGTTAATGCCTCTCATGGGGGAAATTCCCCACAAATTGAGTTGACAGGTCTGTACAGTACCATTCACCTTGTATTTCTGGGAAATAGTTTAATATTAACATGGTGATAGTAAATTTAGCCTCAAATTTTATTCTTTAAAAAATATATTGAGTTTAACCTTTTAAATATGGAATTGGTCAGCTGGCATTGGTATATATATGGACGTTGCTTTGAATGCTGATGCCAAGAATATTGTGAAATCAAAGTCATTAATTTCCAGAAAACGCCAAAATTAAAAAGAAAAAAATGATTATGATTGATTCCTAACATACCACAAGATTGTATTATGACAGAGTCATTCATTGAACAAATTCACTCACTATGGATAGCTTAACAGATTAAAAATAAATCGTGTTGTACAATTGCCTTGAGTTCAAAAGTGTCTATAGTTGTTTGAATGTCATCATTTTGTCAGGAACATTCTGATTGGCTGATTCAAACTTCCTTGTCTAATATGAGATGTATTATGTCAGCTGTTAAACAGCCTTTGAATATATTCTAGAGAAAGATATGATATATGGGGGTCTGGATGAGGGGTCCTTCATTTCTGTATTTTTTTGATTTTTTGAGGCATTTTTGTTTATCTTGAATTAATAAGTCTTATTCTGAAAATTCTCACGAAAATTATTTTACTATTAAATCAATCTGTAATTATATGTGAAATTCTTTAATCTGTACATCGTTCATGTCTGTTATCAGTATTATAGTACAGTAACCTTTATTTTCCACAGATATTTATTCTTTTGCACCCCAATATTATTCGCTGATTTTTCTCTTTTAATTATTTTTTTTGCCATTTTTTTTTTTATTCTCTATTCTGTAAACACCATCTAGACCCTCAGACATATATTTATAGTATTTAGGTAGAATGAGGTTTTATTAAACATTCATGAATTTGTGTCCTGATCAAAAATAATTGTCTAGACCTGTGATAATTTCTTAGAATTTATCAAAAGTTCATTTATATAAAAAAAAAACAATTACCAGTTAAGTAGTTTAAAAGTATTAGTAGCTTCTCATGATCAGTTGTCACTGCAGAGTGTTTCCAACGCCAACATGTTCTTCTGTTACAGATGAAGTTCATGTTTCATTTCTAATTACCTAATTTTCACAAAATAATAGAGTCTGTCCTTCATTCCTCAGGTGGGGACTGACTGGTCATCCAAAAATTTCTACTGCAACAGATTTTGGTTTTTTTTTTTACATTTAAGAAAAAAATTACGTATAGTTTTAATTTAAAGTTACATGCCTGGTGAGGAAGATCTGTGCGTCTTGTCAATTTTATTTTCCTCAATTCTAGTTTTTTTTTTTTAAAGACAATTGAATATTATGTAAACTTGTTGAAAGTATGATTGACACACTGACAATGTTAAATATTGTATAGTTTGTGTATCAGGATAGTGATTTGTCCAGTCAAAATATGTCAAAACGTATTCAGTAATCATATCCTTTTTAAATGACACCTAGACGTCGTCTTCGTCATCTTCCTGTGTGGTTTACATGATAATTATGTGACTTTAAGTCATCATTTCTTGACCTGTGAAGTAATGACATGCAAATGTTCTATACAGTACATCTGAAAAAAAGTAGGAACAAAATGTTCCACACTAATACACAAAGTTTTAATATAAGTCCAGTAGCTGATCAAATTATACATTTTAAACCAGTGTTAACAATTGTATGTGTCTTTCTATGTTGTAATGTAATAATGTTACACTATTATTTCAGGTTAGGGTGAAGGTTGGCACCTGTTAAAACGTTTAAACCCGCTGCATTTGTTTGCATCTGTCCTAAGTCAGGAACCTGTTGTTCAGTAGTTGTCGTTTGTTGATGATGAGGTTCATAAGTGTTTCTCATTTCTTGTTTTTTATATAGATTAGACCGTTGGTTTTCCTGTTTGAATGGTTTTACTCTAGTCATTTTTGGGGCCCTTTATAGAGTGCTGTTCGGTGTGAGCCAAGGCTCCGTGTTGAAGGCTGTACTTTGACCTATAATGGTTTACTTTTACAAATTGTGACTTGGATGGAGAGTTGTCTCATTGGCACTCATACCACATCTTCTTATATCTATTTATTGAAAATTAGGAAAAAAAGGAAACTTAAAATCCAGCAGAAAAAGTCCCAAGTCGCAGCTGCAAATCTACAATTATTCAATTATTTAAATATTAATAAGACATCAATCAAAGACCCCAAAAACTATGTCACACCACTAATGGAGCAGGATCTGCTATCCCTTCCAGAGCACCTGAGATCACCCCAATTTTTGTGGATTAAAGAACAATAGATATTTGATTTCATGATTGTGTCAAAGTCTGCATACAAGGCTATCGAAAATTTGTACTTCGTTGAACTTATAAATTTGTGGTTGATCTATACCCACATAATCCTCAAACATTGATGTATAAGAAATTATAATGAACCCAAACTATTTCCGACCTGTAAAAATGACTTAGTCCAAAACTCTAAATATTTTCCAAACCAACAAATGATAAAGTTCAAAACTATCAATATTTTTTCAAGCTCAAAAATGTCATAGAACAAAATTAATCCTTTCCGGGCCAAAAATTGACAAAATTGATTTATTCAAATTTTTTCCAATTAAGTTAAAAAAAACTTATATTATTGACCTTGGAACTCCAAGCTCATAGCTTGGAATCTCCTGCTATGGGAATCACAATGGCCTTGTTATTTGCTTTTAATTAAAAGGCATGTACCCCAGTATGTATACAGTATGCAAAGAAAGAAAATTCCTTGCCAAATTTATTACTGTGGTATGTTGCCAGAGGGCATGGAATCAATAGACTGAGGTTATTTATGATGGCTTTGAGTTGTATTCTTCCCTGAGATCAAATAATCAGTACTCCTTTGATGAAGTAATGAATGGACCAAGGTGGTGTCAATTAAAGGTGACTGAAGTCTATGTGTGGTCTCTTGAGTGTCTTGAAAAAAAAACATTCATAAAAAATTTTAGTTTGCCTTTTGCAATATCATTTACCTATATTAAGGTTTACATCTATTCTAGGAGAGTTTAGCAGCCTTTCACAAAAACTATGTCACTCAGATCTACATTTTATGTTTCATTGACCTATATTAGATAACTATTATGTAGTGTTATCATTGTTGTGGTCCTCATTTTCTTGGTTGTATTTTCTAAAAAAAAGATGACTGCTTTTCATATAGGCAATAACAAAAAAATGTAACGTGTTTTGTTTTTTTGCTGTGTTAAGAATTCAAAAATACCCAGCTTCAAGAGGTGTTCCTTACTCCCTTTTGTTGTCCTTAGCTATGGCCTTCTGAAAATTTTTGTATTTTTATGTAAATCACGAAATTAGCAAGAACAAACCTCTTGTTAAAATTTCCCTCTTCACAGAAATTAATTTATGGAGATGTTTTTTTTTTTTTTTTGGTGAAAGTAGTTCATCTACTGTATCACTAGCCTGTCAACACTGAGGTTGTGAGTCTGAACCTTGCACAGCAGCAGGTGCGTTCAACTCCATTCTTATTAGACAAGAGTTACCAGTTTTCCTGCCAATGTCATGGTTTTCTCTGGTGATTACAGATTCCTCCATCAATAAAACTGGCCGCCACAATGTAGCCAATAGTGCTGAAAGAGGCGTTAAACACCAATAATCGATCATCATTTAATCGATATATAATTCCCATTTCTGTTTACCTGTACATTATGGTCAATAGGTTTTGATTTTATCATTGTTTACAGGATATATACAGACATGCATACAGTTTTCTAGGAGAGTTACTGTATCTGACCCATGAGTTTCCATTACCCAGGGAGATTTACTCAGGAGCAGCATGGACAGCATTCTACACTTGTTGTAAGGATGAAAGTAAGTAGATGATTAGTAATTAGTAAGTAGATAATTTTAAAATTCTCTGGAGATTCCGAAATTACTCTCGGTTTTTGGTGGGGTTCTTGTTGCTCAGTCTAGTATTCTATATTGGGATTTGTATACTGTTGTCTGTCTTTTGATACTGTAAATTCAGAAATTATTGCGATGTTTTTATTATTGCGAAAAATGCGACAGGATTATCATCGCAATAATTAAAACTCGCATTTTGACATTTTTTATATGAATCAAACAGGATTTTTTCGGAATATCGCAAAAATTAAAATCGTATTTAAGTCTTAAATGACAAAATCGCAATAATAAATGCACGCAATAATTTCTGAATTTACAGTAGTTTTTTTCTTTTTCTGCCATGGCATTGTCAGTATGTTTTCAAGTTATTAATTTGAATATCCCTTTGGTATCTTTCACCTCTCTCTTAATTTGGTATAAAATAAGGAGATGTGGTATGATTGCCAATCAGACAAATATCCACAGTGAACGAAAGATGACCGGTATAACCTTTAGCAAGCAGCAAAACCCATACTGTTAAGTCAGCTACTAAAGGCCCTGGTGTGATAAAATATGAAACCATTCAAATGAGATAACTAAACAGCCTGATTTATAACAAAACAATAAACGAAACACAAAAATAACCGACAGCAACCAATGACAACCACTGAATTACAGATAAGACTTTGAACAGGCACATAAAGAATATGGCTGGGTAAAACATATTCTTGATCGCTCAATCCTCCCTCTTCTCTGGGACAGTGGTGTAACAGCATAGCATAAGAAAAAACTGTAAAAATCTGTTTGAAATGCACAATAATCATATGAAAAACCCTAACAAAAACGCAAAAACATAAGTACTGAACATGCACAAAATATTTGTCACTGGATGTTAAGCAATCAACAATCAAACAACCAATGTTGGCACTTTAGCACAATGTGGTGAAGTTTATTTAGTAACACTCAAATAAATGTGGTGCCTTTGTTAATTAATCCTAATGTTTTTATTTTCAGCATACTATATGGGTGTAAACCAAGTACCTATGAACTTCTTACTACAGACTCAGGCGGAAATGAACAAGATCATCAAAGAAAAGAGACATATGATCAGATACATTGTTGAAGGGGTTTTCCAATTTGATGATAGATTCTGAGACAGTGCATTGTGGGAAATTTTATTTCTTACTTCAGACTCTGTAAGAAATGAACAAGATCATCAAAGAGAATAGACACATGATCAGATACATTGTTGAAGGGGTTTTTTCCCTTTGATGATAGATTCTGAGACAGTGCATTATGGGAAATTTCATTTAGATGAGATGCACTACTTAATTTTATTCCTTTGGTGATTGGTGAATATATACAGAGCTGGAAAGGGAACAGGATTTGAGGAGCTTAACTTGGAAACATTTTATAGGTGTTTTCAGAATTGTGAATTGAACTGAAGAGAGCAGGAATTTTGTACTGAAATTAAACATTAGTAGATATTTACTTTTAATGTAAATGGTGTTTCGGTAAAAAAGAATCATGTAAAAAGTTGTTCTAAAGCTACATTGCCATGAACTGGAGAAAGTATCTCCATATGACTACAATAATGTTTTTACATGTTTCATGCTAATTTTTACATTTTTAAGAAGCAAGCTTGTTTAATTTCATGAAAGATTTATTTGTGGTGTGTATTGCTGGATCTAAATCGCAGTGAAACGTCTTCCAGTTACATTATGTGGTTGTAATATACTTAGACAGAATGTTGAAAGAGAGAATTGTTTATAAATTTTGTGTTTAAAAATAGAGAAATTTTCCCCCAGTATTATTTTTCTAAAGCAGATGTGTACAGGAAGTATCCTGTAGATTACTTTAGAAATCCTTATTTAGAATAAGAAAGAATAGAATGTTTGCCTCCTCATGGTAAAGGAACTAGGGATATTAATTGTACTGAATGCACTTGTAAACAGTGAGTAAGAAAAGATAACTAAGTTTTTATCACACAATTTTCTGCCCTTCTATAGACCTATTAAATCAATTACTTGAAGACTTTGTGTTGTTGTGGAGGAGGTGAATATCAGCAAGTTCTTATATCTACCTTTGAGAATTTTATTTTTTAAGTTTTTGAACTAATTTAAAATTTTGCCTAAATGTGGTCCATAGCTCAAATTAGTGCAATATTTAAATTTAATTTCACATTGCATATTGAAAGCAATCTTTACTTACAGTGCTCACAAGCACTTTGATTTCATAGGACTGTTACATATTCAAATGTTTATGTCTATTAAAATGAGCCACAGTATAACAAAAGTTTAATTAGATTTTTATGTTCAAATTTTTAAATTATGACAGTAAGCATGTATTATATGTTTAAATCATACAGAAATGTAGGACTAACTTCTATGAAAAAGACTATATAAATTGGTTGCTTTAACAAATCAAGATAAGAAAAAGGTGTTTATCTGTCATTGTAAAATAACTGATAAAAGAGCGTCTGATGATATCTGCAGTATTAAAATATAAATTATTGGTCAAAATAGACTCAAAATATTCCTCATTAGATTTGTATTTTAGTACTTTGTTTTACAGATGAAAGAGACTCTTCAATTATGCCCTTTTTGACACCAGCTACAACCTGTTTTACTGAAATATGAAAGGTCATCATTTTAGATAAACTGTTGTGCATATTTTAAATGCAATGCTAAACAAAATGGTTTCTTTAGGACTGATTATAGAATATGTTTGTTTTGATTATTTATTTAAGATTTTTAGTCAAATGCAAAACGGTTTTGTAATATAACATATGCATCATTAGTGCTGTCTACAGCCAGTTTTATTTTCCAGCAGTTGATAGATGGAAAATAAAAGATGTTTTTCTGCCTTATAAACTTTTTATCAGAAGATCTTAATTTTTTATGCAGGTCATTCTGTTGCATGTATGTTTGTTATTGTTTCTTATAGTATACATGGTATATTAAAAGTTTGAGAGTAATTTTTCACGCTACACAATAAAAAAAGTTGTTAAGGAGTTTGAAATAGTTTTTATTATGCCTCACTTAAGCATCTCCCAGAAAGATACTCTTAAATTGCTTGTCTCCAATCTAAAAGGAGGAAGCTGGATTGAAAAGACAACCTAAAAATACAAATAAACGAAAGTAGATATGTTACGGTCACCATATGATCTATGATTGACAATTCATTTATACTTTTAGTTTTTAAATGTTCTGAATAAAGGTAAAAGTACATTTATGGGTTCATTTGGCCCTTTTAATTCACCAATTAATACTAAAACATTGCCTGATGTAATTACCAATAACATTTTTTTTAGCATCAGAAGAAATGCTTTTTTGAAAATGTGAATATAAGCATAGCCTTGGTGACACTATTTGACTGTGATATATTTGCACAATCTAAAGCAAAATTTGTCAGATTTTTTGGCAAAAATAGAAGATTTTGGCTTAATAAACACACAGTTCAAGTGTTGGCCAAAACAGAATTTGACAATGAATACACAGAATACGCCTACCGTTAAAATGTGTTTTTGAGCAACAGTTGTGCTCTATATTATTTCTATGCATGTAAAGGTCAAATTGTCTAGATGGTTCATAATTTAACTATTTTATTGAGTTTACTCTTATTTTGTGGCTGGATAACTTATGAAAAAGGTATATTTTTATCCAGAGCAGCATTATTTCATTAAAGAACATACATTTAACATTTAATTCTAAAAATCCCATATAGTTTATAAATTTTTGAAAACAAATCATTCCTTGCCCTTTAGTAAAAATGACTAAGAAACACATTCATGTAACATTAGTTTGTTGAAATAGTTTTTATCTCACCTGGCCTCAACTGGCCTAAATGGCCATGTGAGCTTTTGCCATCACTAGGCCTCTGTCATTGTCGTCCATCCTCTGACGTTGTAAACTTTAAAAGAAAATATTGTCCTCTTAAATTACTTGGCTATTGTTATCAATTTAACCTGAATGTTCCTTAGAAATCTAGTTTAAAAAGTTATCTTGGGATTTGATTAATCAACAAACATGACTGATGTTGCATAGGGGTAAAATGTGGTTTTTGGCTTATATCTCAAACACTAAAGCAGTGAGAGCAAATCTGAAATGGGATAAAAATTATCTGCAGGTTTATCTACTCAGAAAATAAAAAAAAATATCAGTACACATTTTGGAGTTACTGCCCTAAAATGTTAATTTTAAGTAAATTTTCCTTTTATAGGGAGTTATTGCCTTTAAAATAAAGATTTTCCCTTTTGTAGATTTTTAAGGCAACTATAGTTGTAAAAGAGAATATTTTTATATCAAAAGTTTTAAACAAAATATGATCTACAAATAAGTCATCATGGACCTATTATCAATTGACCCCTTGTAGGAGTTATTGCCCTTGAAAGACTAATTTTACTAATTTTTTGCAGAAGCTATAATAGATAGAGAGAAATTGTAAGAGGCAAGTGTTCAGCAAAAGAAAATCTACAAATAGGTCAAAATTGTCATTCGATCGCTTATGGGAGTTATTGCCCTTAAAAGATAGTTTTACACATATTTGCAGAAACCATTATAGATATTGAGAAATTGTAAAAAGCAAAGATTTTAAGAATTATAAGATCTACTAATAAATCAATATATATATTGTCAACTGACACCTTTGGGAGTTATTGCACCTGAATGACCTTTCTTATTCATAAGTTGATTTTTTGCAGAAACAAAGATCCCTCATTATCTATGATGAGTTAATTAACCCCTGAAAGGATGTTTTGCTTTTAAAAGATGATTTTTTTCCATTTTGGCTGTTTTTGCACAAACTATAATAAATAAAGAGAAATAGTTCTAGTCCAAAATGTTCAGCACAATAAGATCTACAAATCTGTCACCTTGGCTGAAATTGTCAACCAACTCCTTATAGAAGTTATTTTCCCTGAATGATGATTTTTACCCACTTTTTGCATTATTGTCAAAAACTATAGTAGTTAGAGAGAAACTGAGAAGCCTCTTGTTTATGTTAATAATAATTCAATTCATCGGACCTTTACCAATACTTCATATCAATTCATATCATATCTTATGCATATAATATGCATCAAATAGATCTGTTTTATTTCTCTTAAAGGGGCACTAGCTGTCAAATTCGTGTTCACCGATTTGACTCAAATTCTCATATTAGATTTATAACAATGTAAAACATTTATCCAAATTATAAAAAGTTTTAAATAAACAATTTACAGGGCATGGGCTCGATAATATGTAGCTTCGTTTCGTGTGTATTTTAGTCTAGACGCCATCTAATTAACTATCGAGATGACCCTGAAAACAACCGACAGTCACATGACACGATATAAACATAAACATTAATATCAATAGATATATGGACCTGGTGCAAATGGATTTTTCTATGTCTGTTTGATTTCAATTTTAAGGTTAAAAAAAATAAGTTAATTTTCGATTTTACCTGTATAAAAATGATTTTTTTGTGGGTCGAATCAGTCAATCAAATGTTTTATCTTTGTTTCACTTTCATTCTTTTCTTTTAATAGCCTATCACGCATCAATCATGCATAATCCATCTCTAGCTAAGGGGTTAAATTGAAGTTCACATGAATACGGATTCCAAGAGGTCGAATTATTCACTTGCAAGTGAATAATCCATCATCGATGATTCTTAGCTTATTTTGACAAAATTGAACCATACTGGCTGCTAATAGCGAATAATTATTTCACTATTTCACTTTCATTAATGATTGAACAAAAAAAATCATGATTTACAATTTTTTATGTGTCTCGTAGCTAGTGTCCCTGGTATCTATGATGAGTTTATTTAATACTTTTCTAGTTAAAAATATGCTGTTTTAATAAATATTAAATTGAATAACTGTGAAAGAAATTTTTAACATGGGAAACAAAATCTTTGTGGGTAGTGGTTAAAATGTTGTTAATAGGGGAGTAGGGATGGGGGTTATGATTTGCCATTTTTAGCTCACCTGGCCCAAAGTGCCAAGGGAGCTTTTATCATCACTTGGCGTCGATCCTCGTCAGTCTTTGTCTGTTAACTTTTACAAAAATCTCCTCTGAAACTACTGGGCCAAATTTAACCAAACTTGGCCAGAATCATCATTGGGGTATCTGATAAAAAAAATGTGTCTGATGACCCCGCCTACCTACCAAGATGGCCGACATGGCAAAATATAGAACATAGGGATAACATGCAAGTTTTGTCTATTATTTTGAAAACCATTATAAATAGAGAAAATCTGACTGGAGCGAAAATGTTCAGAATGTTTACCTCTACCAATTGTCCATATACGTCAAAACTGTCAGACGACTTCCTATAGGAGTTATTGCCCTTAAATGACAAATTCTACCATTTTTTTCATTTTTGCCAATTATCTTGAAAACTATAATAGATAGAGAGAAACTTTAAATTGCAAAAATGATCAGCAAGAAAAGTTCCAGAAATAAGTCTCATGGTCGAAATTGTCAATTGACTCCTTCTTAGAGTTATTGCCATTTGATGATGATTTTTACCATTTTTTTTAGATTTTGTCTTATATCTTAAAAATTATAATAAATAGATAGAAACTTAAATAAGAAAAAAGATCAGCAAGACAAGATCTACAATTAAGACATATTGAGGAAATGGTCCGACGACTCCTTATTGGAGTTATTGCCCTTTAATGACGATTTTTACCATTTTTTTGCGTTTTGCCTTATCAGATACATATAATACATTGTATTATATGTCTCTGGCCTTGTATGATAAAAATTATAATAGATAAATAGACACTTTAAATCACAAAAATGATCAGCAGATCTACTAACAAGTCAAATTTTGCCGATATAAATAGTAGACTGTCACTCTTTATAGGAGTGATTGCCCTGAATTAAGGATTTTTTTACCCTCTTTTGTGTCATGAATTCTATTCCCGTTTACAATGTTGGAGAGTGTCCTTTGTTGAATATGCACATAGACCAAGGTGAGCGACACAGGCTCTTTAGAGCCTCTAGTTTGATTTTCTTGAAGTACAGGTATTGGTATGACTTGAACGATATTTCCTGATAACAGGAGCCTCATAATTATATTGACTCTGTTCTGATATACACGAAATAACAGTATACTGATGAAAGCAGAATTGTATTGTTTCTGCCCTCGTGTGACCGAAATAACAATACGTATCATGGCTTATTGATAGTATTATTGTATAGTTTTTATGGTGGCGTGCATAAAAAATCAGTCGGTAATATTAAAAGGTTAAAAAAAACTTCTTCTTATATACAAGGAATAAAAAGTGAAGCCTTATAACAGGTTGCTATTTTGTCCGGCTAGAAAATGTCCTAGAACGCAGAAATAACATTATAACCTGATAACAAATTACTAGAGAGTTGTATTGTTTTGTCTTTGTAGACATTCAATAACAGTATAACCTGATAAATTGATAGATTGATTGATTGATTGATTGATTGATTGATTGATTGATTGATGCCAGCTGAGGCAAACATTTCATGCATATTCTAGAGGGAAATAAATCAACAAATGAAACAATAGATAGGTCGACTGGGATAAAAGGGCGGGAAATTTTGACTGCAACTGGGAAAATAAGGTTATTTGTTGGATAAGGGAAGGTAAATTGGGGTCTGGTAAAAGGAGAGTTGTACGAAAGACCTCCTTTTAATATAAATAAGATGTGGTATGAGTGCCAATGAGACAACTTTCCATCCAAGTCACAATGTATTAAAAGTAAACAATTATAGGTCAAAGTACGGTCTTCAACACGGAGCCTTGGCTCACACCGAACAGCAAGCTATAAAGGGTCCCAAAATGACTAGTGTAAAACAATTCAAACAGGAAAACCAACGTTCTAATCTATATAAAAAAAGAGAAACGAGAAACACTTTTTAAGAACCACACCAACAAACGACAACTACTGATCAACAGGCTCCTGTCTTAGTGACTAAAGTATACCCTTATCGGTTATACACATCGGACGTTTTAGCAAGCAACAATCAACCACTCAACCAATAGTTTATCGACGCAATATCCAGATTGTGTTGGGTACGAAGTGGTTAATGAAAAATGTACTTGTCTTAATCATCAATTAACCATACTACAGGTACATGTGTTGTACCTAGGATAGTCGAAGACGCAGACAATATTTACCAAAAGATGAACATTTGAAAAGTGTGAATATGTTCTAATATGGATTTAATGAATAAGACTTTATTACTTTTACAATGGTTATTGCAGTTTTGAATACTAAACACGGGATTATTTTATAAATGAATAAACATCAGTTTGTGCAATTATTTAATAGTATTTCAATCTGTGACATTTTTCATTCATTTTTCAATGCCAACCAAGTATGGACATTCTCATACTTTCAAGTGTACATTAACAATTTGTATCTGAGCGTTAAACAAAAACTGCCATTCAACCAATCACAATTCTACTGTATCCTCATAGATATTTTAGTTATTGACATACTTACTATAAATTCCACAGAGTGCTCTCATAAACTGTCAGCTTGTACATATTGACAAAAAGGGGCGGACGATACCAAAAATTGTAAATTGTAATAAGTGTATTGCAATCAGCATAAAAGTAAATAGCATTAATAACATAATTATATAAAAAAATACTCAAAATTCATTAGCCGAAGAGAAATTGACAAGACCATGGCAACAACAAACAAAAACCTAAAAACGATGAAAAGACAAGTTTTAAAAGCACTAGACAGAAAACTAAATATCAACATGACAAAAAATGGATGAATTTTGAAAGAGGGAATTTATTTTATCTAATATATGATATTCTATCTTCGTATGAATAAAAAGAAAAGTTCCGTGTGAGCGCCAATAAGACACCAAATAGAAAATTACCCTACTAGGAATTATTGTCCTTGAAAGGTGGTTTTTAAATAAATATTTACCCATTTTTGCAATTTAAGCCGAAACCGTAATAAAAAAAGAGATAAATTGTAAGCGGAGCCTTTTATGGCTTACTATGCGGTATTCGTTTTGCTCCTTGTTGAGGGACGTACGGTGACCTGTAGTTATTAACTTTTATGTCCTTTGGTCTCTGGTGGAGAGTTGTCTCATCGGCAATCATACCACATCTTCTTATTTTTATAAAGATGTTAAGCACAATAAAATCTATACAAATAAGTCAAAACAACCGAAATAGTCAACTGCATCCTTATAGAAAATGTTCCCCTTGAATAACCTTTATTATTCATGTTTTGAATTTTTAGCAGAAACTATGATAGATAGAGAGAAATAATAAAAGCAAAAACGTTTAGCAAAAAAATATCTACAAATAAGTCTAATTGTTAAAATCGTCAACTGGCCCCTTAGAGGAGTTATTGCCCTTGAAAGATGATTTTTATCCATTTTTTTCAGAAACCATAATAGATAGAGAGAAATTGAAAATATGAATAATGTTCTGCTAAATGAACTCTACAAAAAAAAATAGCCGAAATGGTCTAGACGAGCGTTTCGTCTATAAAAGACTCATCATTGACGCTCGAATCAAAAAAGTTAAAGGCGAAATCAAAAATGCCACTAGACAATATTTACAAATAAGCAAAGATAGCTGATTGAAATAAAGTAAAATAAATATCAAAATGGCATATGTTTAGCAGGTGAGCGATTCGGGCTCTTGTGAGCTTCTGGTTTATCCATCTACCAACGTAACAATTTGATTATCTAATTTTAACTTTGAATTCATTAAACATGTTAAAGAATTTTACAAAAATTATGTAATATTGATTTTTAACCAGTTAAAAAAAATGTATGTTAAGTTTATCAAATATATCAACGATCATGTAAAATTACATGCCTAAGACGTAACGATAAGACGGTCGGATATATGTAATATAGTTGTTCAAAACTTCCGAGTAATCCATCAATCCAAGTTTGGCATTTGAGTACCGTGGGAAACGTATTATCCTTATTTAACAATCTATTTCACTTTTTTTTAAATTAAATTAAATTGAATTAAATTATATTGTCCGATATCTCGTTAGTTAATCCTATATTTTAAAAAAATCAATAGAAAAATGATTGAAAACATATTTTACTTTGATGAACTTGCTTTGATTCGAAAATCATGGTGTATCTTCTCAATTCAACGAAAAAAATATAAAATCAACTTTAAAACAATCTTTGAAGACATTTTGTCCAAAACTTAAAGAGACTCGCAGATGTAAACTGCCTCTCCTTCACAGAAGAAAGGAAGCTATCTGTAAACATAGTTCCGAAACAGTTTGGCGGAAATGACCGAATGATGCTCCGATTGCACGTATGTAGCCTGAAGCAACTTTTTGACATTTTTCTGGTTTTTACGAAAAGTTATTCCACGGAAGGATAGCTCAGAAATTGCGGAAGAATTTCTCACACGAGTATGATGAAGTGAATTTTCATAAGTTTTATTGAAAAAAGGCAATTAAAATGAAGGGAGATATTGTTCTGGTGACTTTTGTTCTATTTCTGTGTTATTTTTCCGTTGATGGTAGTGGCTATTTAAAAAATCCGGCGGCCCGTAACTCTATTTGGAGATATTTTGGAGCTGCATCATTTGCTAACGATATTGAAGCGAATCATGATGATATGAACGTAAACTGTGGCGGCAAATTTGTAAGTAGATATTCTAGATGTGCGCGAAATGGTAAAGTACTATACTAATCAACAAAATTTACGGTAAAAGTAAATATGTTTTCGATATATTGTGAAATTGTATACACGATACCAAGAAAAAAAATGCCCAATTGGTTTTATATTTACAGAGTATTGTTTTCTTATCAAAACCATAATGATTGCTTAAAGGCAAAAACACGAGAATTTTTTTATTCACAATTTTATTTACTTTAAATTTTTTTTACCCACAATTTTAGAAACTGATATTAGAGATGAAAAAATTAAAACATGTAAACAAGCTCTGGTTAAAATTTTGAATGCCTTGGCATGTATGTAAATACTAACTTGATTCTCATCTTCGAAATTGCGGAGAGTGACATTTTTTTTTGTAATCACTTTCCTCAAAATGAATTTGACCCCAGTATTGTTCTCTTTCCAACTTGGTCAGATATTCTGAAACATATGGATTTTCTTTGCAAATGATTTTTTATTGTATAATTTACCGTTCGTTTTTCCTATATATTTTTTTCATTTTATGATAAACTGAGTTCAAACTTTTGTGAAGTTACTTTTGTTGACTAGTATAGTTTCAATATTTATAAATTCATTTTCATTTTATATTTTAGTTGAATACGAACGATTAATCTTTATAGCGTTTTTCAAAAAAGTCGACGAGTTTTAGTGGTTTCGCCAACGCAGGAGACAAACAATAGAGACAACAAAAAACATAAAAAAAGAACCCAAAATAACTACATTACATACGATTTTAAGAAGAAGAAGAAGAAAACGAAACGATATTAATAAAATCATAAATTGAAGGAACCTCCGAGTTGAATAAAAGAAAAAGAAATAAAGGTCTATTATTATCAAATTCATAAATAAGAAGAATAAGTAAATAATTATAGAATTTGCGAAATATATATATTCTATTCACCAGTGTGTTTATTATCTTATATTTAAAGAACATCTTTTTGCTTTTTCTTTTTGTCCTATTATCAATTACTATTTTTTCTCATGTAACTCCTTATGCATGCAATATCGTATATTTGTATTAATGTGTACATATCTAAATAATTCTAGAAACAAAATGTTAAATGATGTTTCTTATTTTTTCCCTTTTTTTTTTTTTTTTTTTTGTTAAATGAAAAATGAAAATAATTCAATGTTATTTTTTCTTATGAATTACTGAAATTACTGTCAATGGCATAAAATAGTGAAAGGCCGTATTTCCTTCTTTATATCTGGTCTAAATATAACATTTATAATGCAAATGTGTATGATGTCACCCATTAAAATCTGTTAAATACATGTAATGTATGTTTATTTTTTTCTTGGTGGTATGTTTTTTTTTTGTTCACCACGATACATGAGAATATGATTTGAAATTATGCTCACAACTCCTCCAGTCTTTCCAGTAGTTATTTCCGTCACATTGATTGTCAGAAGCACCTTAGAAAAAGTACATTTTTTCTGAGAATTGCACGAGATGAAAGGGGCGATTTTAAAAATGAAAAATAACACTGGTAATTTTTTTATGAAATAATAATGAAAATGATTAGTTCTACCTTTAATTTTAGTGTTGTCTGCTTTTTTAAACATATGATATTAGATTATCCGTTTGTTGCTTCTCTGGTAAAGCATATATTAACATTTTGGACCAAAATCACTTATCCAAAGTTGTGATGGTTGTCTCTAAATGTCTTACAGGAGCTTGTATAAAAACATCAGAGATCAGAAAAAATGTCGGACTACCTGTAGCTAAAAAGGTGGCTGAATCACAGCACATATGATGCTTTGATTCTATAGAAGATCAACTGTTCTATTTGAAGAAGATGCAACAATTATCTCCACACAATTTATCTTATGAGTTTAACAGTTTGTTATTCTTTTTCATAATTTGATGAAATAACCACATCGTCAGCATAAACTAAAATGCATTTTTTTTTTCATCATTTATATCAATACCACACTCATATGATTTCAAAAGCAAAACTAGATCATTTATATAGAGATTAAATAACATAGGTGATAACGGATATCCTTGTTTAAGACCACTGTTGACATTAAATCATTATAATAAATAACCAATTAATCGTACTGAACATAATACATTTGTATAAATAGACTGCATAGCAGCACAAAAATGTTCTGCAACCCCAAGCCCTTTAGCTTTGACCCCATTATATTTCCATTTATGGTATCATAGGCCTTTTTTAAAATCAATCTTTACTCGTAATTGACAATCTTGAAGGTCACAAGCAAACTCTTGAAAGTAAAGTTAAATGGTAGAAAGATTATTATTATCAATTCAGTTCTGCGGCAGTCAACAAAATTGGAAGATCGTACATATATACATGTAGAACTTGATTATCACATATTACGACAGCTGTTGGTTATTTTTTTGTGTGACTTTTCCGGATATGTTTAGCGTTTTACGCCTTAATTTATAATTTTAACTGCCATTGATAAATTACCGTCATATCACCGGATTTTTAATCGAAATGAGAAACACGGTATATTTTCCTATCTGTTTAATAACGAATTTAGTTAACCCCGGCTAAGGCAAACTACCAGGAGCGAGCAATGACCATTAGGATGGTTTACACATTCATAGCTAAATAAATTTGCTCTCAGAGATTTGTTATCTCACGTTTTTTTCAGTATTATTACAATAAAAGGAGACGGGATCAGTGCTTTTTTCTTTCAAAATCTGATAGTGAGACATAGGAATTGCTTTTCCCGCGACGGCTGCGGCTACGGCGTCAACAATTGTTAAGTTTTCTGATTATGTTAGTTTGATAGGAACTACTAACAATAGACAATATTTTCTATAATGTTACATTGCATCTCAGTTTGTCAACAATTTCGAGGACCTACCCTCTAGTTGGTCAAGCGACTTTGAATTGATTAGCAATGTTGCTGTCCATCAGATTGTCTTTTTCTGAATTTTATGCCGACAGACGAGACATATCTCTGTGTCAACAGTTTATGATAGCTCTACCGTAGAACAGTTTCTGATATAAGCTGTTCTACGCTGTTCAACCACAGAACTACTTTGAACAGTTCTGCGCTAGAACTTAACCTAAAAGTATATTATAGAATAGTTTTGGACATTTCAATCTTAGAACATATTAGAACAGTTCTACCTAGAACAGATACTGCCAGTTCTTCTCTAGAACAGATACTGACAGATACTACTTTAGAATAGTTTTGGATAGTTCTACTATAGAACAGATTATGATAGTAAGTAAGACATTGATGTGTTAAATATTTCGCATTTATATTTTGAATGTGATTTACGTATTTCCTTGAGGGCATCAAGCTTCGTGTTTTGAATACAAAACTGCTAAATCTGCCATAATACATCATATTGAGATCCTTTGATTAATATTAAGATACAAGCAAATGTCTTCCGCAAATAAAGATTTTGTTACAGATGTCTTTACAAAGATGTGTATTAAAAAAGAGGCATTAGTAGAAGAAAAATAGACAGCACCGTGGCAAAAAAGAAAAGCGACGAAAAATCAAATAAAAGTCTACGAGACACTACACAGAAAACTTAAGACTGAGCAACACGAACATACAAAACAACGGGGGTAATTTAAGTGCTCCGAAAGGGTAAGCAGGTCCCGTTTCACTAGTGGTACCCGTCCTGTTGCTCATAAGGCAAGACCTAAGCTCAAAAAAGTATAACAAAAATACTGAACTCCAAGGAAATTCAAAAAGGGGAAGTCCATAAAACTGACAAAATTAAACGCTATCAATCAACAAAACAAGTGAAAAACAATTGCCATATTCCTGACTTGGTACAGGCATTTGGGTTAAACCTGGTTTTATAGCTAGCTAAACCCCCACTTGTATGACAGTTGTTTATAGTTTCGTTATATTGACAAAATTGGGCAAGCAACCCAAACATACATAATAGGTTAATGTAACAATAGTTGGTCAGCAGTCAAAACTGTGTAAACATACATCACAGACATACAACACAACTGACTAAAACAATTCAAACAATCATATTACATTGTAATTAATATAACAAAGACTCAAACAAAAAAGGTGTAGTAGATAGTAATAACTCATCATGGATGCCAAGACCAAAATACCGCAAAATCAAAATTCATTTAACAGAAAAAATTTGTGCAAAATGGCTCATACCAGTTAGATCAATTGTATATAAATAATATAAATATTTTTCATAATATTATTTACAAAATATCGATCTGTGTGATCAACAAGAATGTGTAATAAGATTCATTGTGTAGAAACTGACCAATGGTTGTCCAGCCAAAAGATCGTAATGCAGGGGCTCACACAAAGGGGTTAGGAAAATGTAAATTTTCAAACAAATTAATGGTTTCCTTCGTCTGCATAAAAATTGTTATCAAAATAACTTGCCTATATGAATGGCGGTTAAAGATTTACTGTCAGTGAACGTATTTCAACATTGATAAATTAAGCATCGCTTGCTGTAAATAAAGCAATGCAAAAGGTGAATAGTACAAGCTACAACGACACTGAGGACTATGGCTTTGGATTTGGCAGACTTTTCTATTCTGCCACTAGAAGTGTTTTATTGATGCATTGACATTATCATATTACCCCTTCTATTTTTCAGGTTAAAGACCACAATGACCTATCACAGAAATGCGGACTCTGTGGAGATCCTAAAAACGGACCGCTTGACCACGAAAATCCGGCAAAATATGCAAAAGGATATGTTACCCAGGTGTATCATGAAGGCACTACCGTCAATATTACAGTTACCGTGACGGGAAAGAAAGAAGGGGGATTTTTTATGATGGATCTCTGTTGTCCTGCTAGCCCTTCTCAAGTTACAGAGCAATGCTTTAACCGTCTCATATTTAAAGATACCAATTCAAATACACTTCCAATCAACAACTTCGAAGGAGATGGGTCATTCGAAGTAATACTTCCACCTGGAGTGACCGGTGATCATTGTGTGATGCGATGGATTTGGATAACAGGTAAAACAAACACACTAAAGAAAAAAATACAAATAAATTTCCAGAAGAAATAAATTTTATATAGTTGATGAAAGCTTCCAGTAAGCACTTGACCTCTGTTCACATAAAAATTCTTTTAAAAATAAGAATTAATCGATTTGACGAAAAAATTAGAATATATATATACATGTCACAGTTTCATACATTATTTGTAAGCAGAGTAATAGTATAGATTCTAAATTTCCGTCCGAAAAGTCTCCAATTGTTTTGGGGAAATAAAACCAATGTTACATATTGAATTTTGAGAGACAAGAAAAAGGTTTCAAAGTATTGAAGTATAAGCAAGTTCATGCAATTTTTAATGGTTTTACCGAGTTATTAAAATAGTTTCAATCATCAAATGAAAAATAGTCAATCTGTTTTAATTTTAACTTTCTGTAGACCATTCCGTAAAAGTGATTTCAAATTTCAGTACATTCACTGTAGTCGCAAATTACTATGGCGACATGAATCCAAATTGAATGATTTTTCAATAATTTGACATCTATATTCTTAAGTTGATTATTTCAAAAACTGTAACGCGCACAGTTCTATAGTTAATGGGTTATATCATAGCAAATCGAAGACTAGCAAATATAAAATAAGAACATCTGAAGTCGTTTATACTTCACACACACATATTTTATTTGCCTTACCTAAATTAAGAATGATAAAAAGCGTCAGATAATTTGCGGTTCAACACAAGTACTTTTTTTACAACGCGGAGTAACTTTTTCGCGCTTCACGTGGATCCTGCTAGTTGGCAGACGATTCTAACACGAAGCTTAAAGATAGAAGAACTCAAGGTAAGACAACTGCATTTGTATTTATACAAGTATTTATAAACATGTAGCTATGGAAAAAAAACTACATTTGTATATATACATCATTTATAAACATGTAGCTATCGAACCAGACATCATGTTGGTTAAACACCAAATTATATAAACATGTAGCACAATGAAAATACCTGACAATGAATTAGAAGACAAATTCATTGTATGTGAGAAAAACAGCACAGCAGGCTAAATTTCTAAAAGTCACAACGTCTGCATGCGGTCTTGATAACGTTTACGTTGTATAAAATGTGATTCTTAGTTCATATTGTTTGCATTCAGAATCTTGTCTACCATTTTTGTTTTACAGCAACGAATCTAACTGCAAGCATAGCATTTATATTAAAGCTTGCAATAGAACTATATCTTTAAGTTAGTATTGAAGTCGATAATATATGTACATTAACAAGCTATTTCAAGCAGCTTGCAGTATGAAATAGAACTATCCAACCTCAATGTTCATACAAAGTTTGACAAAATTCAGTTGATTTTCAAATATAGAATTCAAGCCAACTGCATTGTTTTAGTTAAAAACTATCTTGTAGGTTTTAGCAATTTTTTTGATAAACACCATTGTCTCGTGTAATTTCCCGCTAAATCTTTTTGGAATTATTTACGATTTAAAAAAATTGCGAATGCAATTGTCTTGAGCAAAGTAACATCATATTCTACTGGTTATTTTCGTATCTGAGTTTTTATCTTTTGTTTAGTTAATATTCATTTTTGCAGCAAAAAAAGCCGGTAAGCTTAAATGGGAGTAAACAAAGTCTTCCTATTTTAAAACACCAAATATTGTTACTTTATTAACTAGTATGTAATATCGGCAAATTTTATATTTCACTATATAAAGAGTGGCTAAAACATGTTCAAATTCGACCTACGACCTTAGTGGGTTTGGCAGGCGACCTTACGACCTGTGATCTTTGAAATGATTTAAAAATTTGCTATGTGTTTTGTCGTTGCTTTCAAATTTACATAAAGATGACCCGAGGCAACTTTTAAACGCGACCTTGTGTAAAAGGGGGTACACTGCAGGAGCCCCTTAATTAAGAGTTTCAAGGGGTGATAATTTCAATTAGGCAGCACTTTTTTTCTGTTTCAGTTTACAGCTTCGCACTTTCATTATGTTATCTGAGAAAATATTCAAGACTTTTAACCAACAGTAGAAAAGCATCACCCTCTAGAAATTATCTCCCCTTGAAAAAAAAAACATTCTCTGACGACTTGATAAATTGACATGTTAGCAGTAAAATGGACGAATCGAACAAACTTTCCCTCTCTGTCTGATAACTGAGGCTGTGTTTGGATATACGCCTAAGGCAGTCTATGGTTACCCATAGGTATCTTTGGGTACCCATGGTTTGATATTTTGATATATAGAATATCAAACCAAAGGTACCTATGGATAACCATAGGCCACCTCTGGCGTATATCCAAACACAGCCTGAATCTTCTTAAGAAATGGGATATTTTCAATTTTGAAGATATTTGCTAGAATGACATATATTTGTTTCTGTCTTCTAATGTAATGTATGCACAGACGTTTAGATAGCAGTTTACCTTTGAAACTTTCATATAATAGTGACATTTATTTCTGCAACCGCCTAAAGGTGCATTCGAATAATCAAAATATAACATCTAGACCTTAAATAAAGAAATGTATCAGTCACTCTCTATTAAATAGTGCGAGATGACTTTTTTATTTTTGCAATTATTGCAAGTGTGGATAATAATTGATCGATGTGTGCTTATTATTTTTTTTTAAATTTCAATACTTTCAAATTGCTGAGAAACAATTAAATCGCCAATGGTCAAGAATGCACATAAAATATCAGCCATTAAGAGAAAAATCAAAAATTTAAATTTCAAACTATAAACATTTATTATCTAGAACAACAGTGAAGCATGATTTAATTTTAAATAATCACAGTCGTGAAAAAGACATTCGAGGATCATTGATTGTTGTTTGCTAAACGTCTAGTGGCAAACATTTCATGGATATTCAAACCAGAACAATTTAACAATAACTACATTACATAAGTTGTTCAAGGTTGGTCAACCTAGATGAATGGCGGGAAATTTGGATTGCTACTGGAAATGATAGGTACAGAAATTTTGTCTTGCTACAAGCCACCTACAGATCAGTAAAGGAGTTCTTCCGATGGTTCTTTAGCTTGAACTAAGCGTGGCACTCACCTTACACGGGACATCGGCTATAACCTCCCCATTCCAACCAGTCATGACTGTATATATTCCGCACAGTCCAACTGATGCCTAAGGTTTTACTACTAAGTGTATGAATGGCCATATTTCAATACCCAAGTCAACTCTTAGGTTAGTGTAGTCACAAATGAAAGTGTTGGTTATAAAAGTTTCCTAAAATTAAATAGTACTTAGTATTCAATTCATCAATTGTATCATATCTAATCTGAAAAAAAAATGCATATTTATATTTTAGAATAATATAATTGATAGTTATAAGATTGATAAAACGATAGTTAATAGATAATATATAATTAATGTAAGAGCTGGCGAAATCAATTTAAATGGACCTGATCAGATTGATGCTTTTTAATTTAAAAAGACGCATCAGTGTAAAAATCGTTTTGCAATATTTTCTGCCACTGAAACAAATTAGATAACCCACTAGCTTATTCATCTGGCTTTTAGATTATATTTTGCATAGGTATATGCCGAAAAATAAATTAGTAAAATTTACACACATGTATACTATAAGTGATAGACATTCTTCTAAAATTAACATGAATAATTAGCCTGCAGGTAAATGTCAACCATATCTATGGCTATCTTCATTTTCTCACCCGGAAGTACCTCTAACTTATACATTTGTAATTACATTTCAATTTAAAATGTTGCTACTAATTTTCTGCACTGCATTTTTTCTGCGCTTAGAAATATGTTTTTGCACATATTTTGTCAAACCCTTTGATAGTTTTTCTCTTGGGCTTATGTTTTACTTACTACATTTTGTATGCGCTTGTGCACTTACTGTGCATATAGATTTGTATTTACATTTTAATTTAACATTTTGCTATATTTTTGCTCCGCTGCATTTTTTCTGCGCTTTTCAAATTTATTTGCTAATTTTTTGCCAAAGCCTTTGAATGTTTTTCTCTCGGCCTGATTTTTTAATTGCTAGATTTTTATGCGCTTTTGCACTGTACGTGCATCAATAACGGTAAGTTCAAATTCTTAGATAGCTAATGTGCTCATTTGCTGCATGTTATGCGCTTAAATAAATTGGCCCCATTAGCGCAATCGTATAGTCAATGACAACAAATGCCGAGAAAAATAAATGCGAGCACGTATTTACAACCTGCGAGTAAGAAGCGCACATATTCAATAGGTAAGCATAGATTTATAAAAAAAATATAGAAGTACTTATCAGAGATTAGATAAATTGTTCAGTGTTATATTAGATGTTATGAAAACCAATTAGAAAGTATCAAATGACCCCCCCCCCCCCCCCAAAAAAAAAAAAAAAAACCCATCCCCACCACCACCACCACCACAAAAAAAAAAGAATGTATTGTTAGTCATTGTTAGTTAGGTTAGAGAAGAGAGATTCTTCTTTTATTTCAAAAATATATTTCATGGCACAAACTAAGACCGAAATGAATTCAAATTTCAATTATATCTCGATCATTATATTTCATTTGTACCGCAAGGAAGGAACTTTTCTATCTCGACGATGTCAGAATCTCTATATTAAAGGGTTCGGAATCCGTGTTGTTTTTTTCTTTTTTTTTTTTTTCTTTTTTTTTCGGAAATTAATTGCCGTATTTTTATGTTTTCAAAGTTTTGTCATAGTTGCTTAAAATGATAACTTATTTAATGCATCATCGCTGATTTGTTGCAGTCGTATCGTGCTGTGCTCACGGTAGATATAGAATTAATTTTATAAGATAGTCAATAACATAACTTATTGACAGATATGCAGATGGAAAAAAAAACATAAAAACTTATGACCTTCTAATTTGTCAAGATCGAAGAATTAATTGTAAAAAAATCAATCATATATTTAAAAAGTATTACTTTGAATCTTTTACAGCCAACGAATACAGTTGCGACCCGACAGGACTTTGTGGAGTGGGATACTGGGAGCAACCCGCTTTTGTAAATTGTGCAGACGTAAATGTTTTGGCTACTGGAGAACCAATACCACCAGATTTCGAGTATCCCGATTACACATCGACCTACGGTTCAATCAATGGAGGCGGTCATAATGGGACTTCATCGTCGACACCTATCCCAACTGACTTGTCAAGTGTTCCAATTGGAGGCTCTTCAACAACAGTAGCAACTACTACAATGTCCCCAGGCTCGACGACAACTTCCATTGGAATATCAATTGTTACCGTCGACCCTACAGGCGTAACGGGAACTACTGATACGCCACCAAGCACCCAAGGTCCTATTGTTGGCCCAGTTGGTCCAGTTATTGCCTCTTCTGGTTTAGGTCTCCCAAGTTTTGGATTTTTTGCACCGTTTCTACCATTAGGGTTGCCGGTTTTGGCAAAGTTTGGTCTTGGCTGGTGGGCAAATAGACAGGCAGGCATTTCACCACGTGTTAATATTCCACCGCCCCCTGGTCCCATTGTTTATGAGCCAATGCCGCTCTTTGGAGGTCCTGCCTATGTTCCAGCACCTGTTCCGGTAACAAAACATTACAAGGGTTATGGGAAATCGGAAAGTGTACATGGATATGGAAACAATTATAATAGCTATAATGGTAACTATGGCAACAACAATTATGGATACAACCGTAACCATGGTAGCAGTTATGGTAGTGGCAACTACAACGGAAAGAAAAAGTAAAAATATGTTGTTATGGATACAACCATATTCTTCTTGAAAAATTATAAGAATACTATAGGTATCTCAAATACAGGGAATAAGGTTAGATGTTTTTTCATGCAATGTGTGATAATTGAAATCTCGAATTTATATGAAATTTTGTAGTATAATTCATGATATGTAAAAAAAAATCGTTTTTAGCTGCTTAAGTTATTCTTGGTGTTTATAAATTATTACTTTATTGATTATGGATTATTATGTGTTATATTAAGCATTATGCATAGCCCTGTTTTTGGTTTTCAATAATTTGAAATTTAAAAACCAATACCGGCCCTTTTGTTGATCAGTTATCACGTACTGTTACCATATCTATTAACCAATTATGTTCTTATCTAGAGAGGGAGAACAGGAATTCATAAATATTCTATATAAAAAATTCTAATAAATGGTTCTTTCAAATATGATTAATATAAATATTAAACATAAAAATAACGTTTAATGTGGCATAAGTTTTACATATTTCTTCTTTCTTCTATCTTTAGTCCTAAAAAAATAGACCACTTCCTCTCCGCTGCTCCTAAATAAGAAAATGATAGCTGTACTTGTTTGTTATTGTATATAGGGTAATAAAGAGATAATATAGATGATTTTATTTTAATTTTTCGAAACCACTGAAATTTTAATTGTACTGCAATTAGAACATGGCTTTGTTTACAGAGCGAAAGAAGAACGTCATATTCGAATTTTTTTCTATGAACAAATTATGCTTGGTTGGTGCCAAAGATACACAAACTCAACAACAAATTAATATAAAAACGACATGTAGGAGGTTCTGGATGGGGGGCCCTACATTTCTGTATTCTGTAATTTTTTAGGCCATTTTCTCTATTCTCAATACTTTTTGCCCATTATTTTCTATTCTTTGTATTTTAGCACCCCATTATTCTCTTTTCTTTTTTTTTTGGGGGGGGGGGGGGGGGGGGGGGGGGGGTGGGGGGGGTCCATTTTTCTCTATTCATTATATTTTTTGCCCATTATTCTCTATTCTGTAAACTCCCATCTACACCTCCAGCATGCTCTTTAATGATGAGCAATCTACCACCATACAGGTTTTGTAATTCTTGAAAAGATTTCTGGTAGTTTTTTTTTTTGTCATTTAAACATTAATTCTAGAAACTAATCGTCTGTATTACTAGTTACTAGAATTATTCATGTTGGGAGTTTCAGAACTTGTCAAAAATTTATAATTCAAAAATCTTATGACATGAAAAATATGCACTTTTACAATGGTATAGAACCTGAAAACTTTATTATGTCTAAATATTTCGTTCTGGACTGGTCCTTTACGTATGTATTCTTTAATCTTTTATGCCGTTTTGCTCTATTTATCCTGACTTTTTTTTTACATAAATTGTCATCCTGCCTTTTTATTTTTGCAAATTATCTCATCCTGCCTTTTTTTTTCTCAAAACTCCTGTCCTGCCTATTTTTTCAAATTTCATCTTAGCCCCTCACCCCCCCCCCCCCCCCCCCCCCTTCCCCCCCATAAAAATCAAATGGTAGCTCCCTAAATAGATGATACATATTAAAAACACCAACCCCCTTCGATAAACAGATATTCTTATCAAATATCAATCTGATTTAAATACAGATTCTGTGTCCAGACTTTGCTGACCGACTCCATTTTACTTTTATTCTGAATTTTATTACATCAGCCAATGAAATTCCAGCCTCCAAATTGCAACATTCCAAAACAGAGGATCCCGAAAGGTCTTTAATCCAGAAAGATGAACTTAGCATTGTCAGATCCGTGTAAGTTAAGCGTGGATACAGGGTCTTTATTTCAATCAGATTGATCAATCTACTTTCTGCGGTATATCTTCATGGGGTCAGCCTCTATAAATATTTAAAAACAACGCCACACTGACGGATGAATGAAAATTGCATCAACATACGAAAGATGACATTTTATTACTCTTTTCTCGTCAAATAGTTTTTAAAAAATTAAATTTTACAGAAGACAAATTAAAGTGTACAAATTAACAAAACTCTCGTAGAAATGTTGATGGAAATTTGAAAATAAATTAATTAAGTCAAAGAACAACAAGAAACCCTCTCTCTGACAGAAAATATCGATATCAAAATGCATGTTATATTTCATCTGCATGTGCATGCTTTAACATAAAAATAATGGATACAGGGTACCAACAAAATAAAGCATTCATGAATAAGACTCGAAATGAAACTGATAATACATTTATAATAATACAGATAAACAGACAAGGAAATGAAAAAGAAAGATATAAGTGAAGAAAGACAAATACCGAACAATTGCATCCACCGATATTAGAGTGTAGAGCGGCATGCTTTCATATCAGCATATTTAGTTTGAGCTTGCTTACAGTAAACAAAAGTATTATATGATGACCATGCGTACAACCCGTGTTTCTGGAATGACCTTCATCATGTACACTCGATAATAAAAGTTTAAAAATCAAAAATATAAAACGTTTGAGCGCTAAAAACCAAAAAGGCATAACAAGAACAGCCTAAGGCCAACACTGTCTCAATGTGTTGAAGTATAAGGTCAACATTGCGACGAAGGACTTGCAGCCTATTGTCAACATTGCTTTGGCGAGTTGAAACCTAAGGTCAACATTGCTTTAGCGAGTTGAATCCTAAGGTGAACATTGCCTGAGCGTCTGGATGGTTGTTCTTTTCTGTATTCTTTACTTTTTCGGTCCTTTTTTCTCTTTTTTTTCTTGTTAATTATTCCCTATTCTTTATATCTTAGCACATTATTATTTTCTATTCTTTATTTCTTTGCATGTTTTTCTCATTGCTTAATTTTTTGGTCCTTTGTTCAACCCAATCCAGACCTTCAGGAACCATTAATAATTAATAACAATAGGCGGGAAAATGAATTTGGCTTGATACTATAAATTTGACAGCAACAATTAAACGATACAAACTGGAGACACACACAAAGTGAAAAACATACAAATAATAAAACACACAGAGAAAGCCATACGATTTTCAAAATCCTCAGTCTGTAAAACAATTAACGTCATTAACAAGGAACACAGTGCTCAGTATGACATTTACCTACGCATTTACTAGATTATGTTATATTCTAAAATTTAATTTCTAAGAATATTAGTGTTTTAAATAGTAGTCAGTCTTCTCTACTTTTTACATTTTATCAAAAAATGTTCCTGTATAATTTCACGTCTAATGCAGATATAACAAATCTCTTCTAACAAATCAAATAAAGTCCTCTTTTGGAAGATAAAAACTCGTTGAGTGAGGACATCAATATAAAAAAAACGTAGTAGTGTGTTTCAAGGCCTTCGATGGTACGGCAGTTCAAGAGATAAAATACTGACGTTTAATTCTTTATGGCAGCAAAAGTTTAGATATGTATACATAAATGATATGCATTGCTTCTTCATAAATTAGCTGGTGAAAGGTCTGCTTTGCTTTGCTCTCTTTATTTAGTTTTTTGAAAAATCTTAACATGTGCAACATAGTACCACTGTATCGCACATTTAATTATATTTACATTGGTCAAATTATTTTGTTCTCAGTGATAATGTCTAAAAATTAACTGAACCTTGATATACGTTTTAATTATATCAACATTGGTCAAATAATATTGTTCTCATGCAAATGTTTAAAAATTTACGGAACCTTCATAAAAGTTTTCTTTCGATTGCAATCGATGACGAAGTGGAAATATAAACATTTGTATGGTGGTTACAATGGTCTTTTTTAAAAGAATTTTCAGCAAATGGACCAATCGACCGGGAAGGCGAGACTGTGTTACTTTGTTCCTTGCAAGTAAAAATCTTATGAAAGGGGAATGTCTTGGTGTACGTACAATAATACAAATTTTAATTCCGTAACCCCCCTATTCTGCAATCCCCATATTCAATATATGTGTGACGCACTTGCGAAGTCAAAATCATTGCCAGATTCGGCACAATGCTGCATATTTGTGCATGATTTGCTTTGCATAGGCAGATACCAGCATAAAAGTAATAGGTATGGTATGACTTTTGAAGGGACTAATATCCACCGCAGACCAAAGGTCGAGGTTTTAAGCAAATAAAGAGCACTGCACAAGGCCTTTAACATTAAGCAAAACCAATACCTTTTAGTAAGCTATAAAAGGCCAAGTTTGAGAAAACGTGAAACAAAACGTCCAACGGCCATATCTATATTAAAAACAACAAACGAAGAACTAATATGACAGACCAGAGTAACCAACGACAACCATTAGAGCGCAGACTAGTTTTGGACATGAGCTTACAGAATATGGCGGGGTTAAGCATCTTTGTGTGTGCTCAATCCTTCCTTCAACCGAAACACTGGCGTAACAGCACAACATAAAAACAAACTATAAAATTAGTTGGAAAAGGCTTGACTCGTTAGATTGGCACAAGGCACACAAAAACAGAAATAAAAAACCCACACGGTACCTATATAAGAGAGTCAATAACCACTTTTAGGAACCTGTTCAGAGGTCGTCATGGTTGCTGTCTATCATATTTGTTTTTGTATTATTTTTTGTCATAAATCAGGCCGATGGTTTTGATTTTGTCGTGTCGGAGCCTTTCATAGCTGACTCTACGGTATGAGTTTCGCTCAGTGTTTAAGGCCGAATAGTGACCTAAAGTTGCTTAAATTCACGTCATATAGACTCTGTTGGATAGTTGTCTCATTAGCAATCTTACCACACCTCCTTATGTCAATGATAGATAAACCACGTACTTAAATGTCAATCAGTTTACATCAAATGCATCATAAAAACTCTAAGGAAAGTCAAAAATGCAATGCCAAAATATAAGTATTGATAGGATGTAAGTTCGTTCTACCTTGAAGTTGTTTCCTTTAGCAAAATAATTCTGAGTTTGTTTAGGAAAAATGACGGAAATCTTAATAAAGACTATAAGGAGCATAATTAAGATGCCCTCTTTGATTACAAACTCTTTTGACTTCTATACGTTTTACATTGAACAACTCTAGGAATGTACCTACATATACATATTTCTAGTCAGTAAATCCCAGTAACTGCCTGTCTACGTTACGTATCAACTGAATTCATCCTAAATTTAAATGGAATCGGGGTTGCTGAATCTTTGATTTATCGTTTATAATGATATATACATGTTAATACAAATACGTTTAAAAAACAAGAAAGGGACATAATAAAGCGGCCATCAAAAACAAAACATTAAAGAACAGATAGGCAAAAGAAAAATGATTTTAAAAAAAGTAGTCTACAATCCATTTCAGTATAGATTTGTTACAGCAACGTTATAAACAGTGTAAGAATACACCGTTATGTGCAATTTACATGATAAATGATCCATGTTAATACAGAAATTTTGAGTCATGTTTCAAACAATGATTTACCGAGACTAATATTATCCATTAAATCTTAAAAACATTCAGACGCAATGATCGAACCATAACAGTTTATATATATACTCTTTATTGATATTTTTACTGAGCAAGAAAGAAAGGTTTGAAGGAAAATTATTAGAAGATTTAATTTGTTTACTTTATAAACAATATAATTTTGAAACGCGAAGTGTATAACAACTCTTTTATTTAATTCCTGCAAGAGGAATTATACTTCAAC